ATCATAAGAAATGATGAATTAAACATATGAATGCTATTCAAAAAATGGAAAACCTTCATGATGAACAAATTATTGATTTTGAAAAGACATGGCCATCAGAACTTCCACCAAGTCATCGAAAACTTAGCAAGACAACCCTCGATATGAGAACAAAAGAAAATAAATGTTTATCTGCCGAAATGTTTGACGAAGCTGAGCAGTGTAGAGATATTGCCGATTGGCTCGAGTTCAATGACTTAAACGAACAAAAACTCAGATACGAACTCGATTTTAATCGTGAATTGCTCGACTGAAACAGCACAAGAGAAAGAACTAAATTATATTAAGTTTAGATATGAAAATAAATATGCTGAACTTAAAGCAGAAGAAGAACGCGAGTTGCAAAGATGGAACTGATTGTTAGAAATCTCAGAAGAAAGATTAAACCTGAAGATGAAGCATTGCTTATACATGATAAAAAGTTTTCAATGGGATGTTCTGATTCATCAGAAACAAGATCCAAAAATAATATCTGCTTCAAAAATTGTTTATAAGAATATTAAGCCTTACTAAAATTGTTTGTATTCATAAATTTAATTTTTTTTTTTCTTCGATTTAACGTAACATTCTATAAGCGTTATTATCATATGCCATGAAACTCTTTTCCTAAGAATCCAGATTTTGTTTTAAATTCAATATTAATTTTAAAAATATTTAAAGTAGGCATCTTAAATAAGTTGGGTTTGCATATAATTCTCATGGAACCCATGTTAACATATTTTTGATCAGTCCTACCAAGAATGTGAGGTTCTAAACATCGAAACAAGCAGTCAAAAAAATTCAAAAATTCAAAAAAAAAAATATATTGAATACAATTGATGCATCACGGATTCAACAGAAATTAAAGATCTTCAAATATTAATTGAAGATATTCCAACAGATGATCCTTCTAATGATGCTAGTCGTCTTCTTGATTTCTTATCAAGGAATGGTGTTTTTTCAAGTTGCTTTTAATAAGCTCAAGCAATTAGACTTAGCTAATGTATCTACAGATAAACACATTGAACTTTTATCAGGATTCTTACTCAGTGCAAATAATATTACACAAGTTAACGAAATTCATGATATATTCATGAAATACCTAAGCGAAAAAGATTTATTCGTAAATATGATGGATAATTCAATCTATACAAATCAACTTTTGCAAGATTTTATGAATCATTCTGAAAACTCGATTTAATGCTAGAATGCAATAAAATTTGGAATCACTTAACCAACGTCAAAGATATATTCGTCAAATTGCTTTTCGTTTTGCTTCATTAAGACATGAAACGCAAAAATGCCTTAAAATTCTTTACTCTGTTTACCCAGCTCGTTCACATGATGATTTTCTCGAATTTTCTGCATATGCAACCTCAATTACATCACTTATTTCTCAAGATCAAAACTTTGTTCGTGAATTATTTGAATACGTCATGAATTTAGCAGCAATACTTTCTGGATTCATGCGTGATTGGCTTATAAACTTCGCATCATCCTTTGCACCGCTATTAAAACTCAAATCAGTTCATCCTGCGATTTTAGATTTTGTCAAATTACAAAAGATGCCACTTTCTACAATCCATCACTTCGAATCATCTACAGGAGGCTTATACAACAAAGAATTAAGCCTTTCGGAAGCTCCTTCCCTTTCCAGACCTTATTCATTGTACAAAGAGTGGTTTGTTGACATCAAAAACCTGAATGAGGCCAAATCCCCAGAAAGAGTTTACAATACAAATACTCCATTTCTGCCAAACCAATCCATATGACGCTCCAAAAATATTATCTCAGCTTCCTCCTGTTGTTTCTCTACCGTTTTAACACCTGATAGTTGACAAACAACCAGAAGCATTCCGTAATGCTGTAGAAAAGGCTTTTTCATCAGGAAATATCGATATTGCATTAAATGTTCTTGAAATTGTTGCTAGAGTTAATCCAAGACTCATCAAACCACACTTTTCTTCAATATCTAAGCTCGGATTCTCAAGATGCCATACATTAGTTTCATTATTAATAAGAGCAGATATTATTGAGTTCAAAAAACTCTTTATTCCAATTCATCAAGCCGAGGAAGAAAAGATAAGAGATATTATACGCGAAGGTATCCTCCAAATGCAAAAACGTCCTAAGACAAGAGAAATATCTCGTTTGTTTCTTCAAGTTTTCACTAATTTCTACTCTGGAGCATCCGGACAGATAAACTGGGCTGCTGTTGCCGATGCATATCCAGGAGATATGGACATCGCTCAGTGCATGCTCTTAACTCAGGAAGATCAAACCGAAAAAAGTGACACGAGGAACTTCACCGCTCCTCTTCTTCAGTGGCGACAGTCATTTCTTAATTTTATCAGGAGATGTCCATCAACAATGCGTCCCTTATCAGCAATACCATATCTCCTTGTTGCTTCTACACTACAGAGCATGATGAGCTGGAGATTCACAGTTTTTCATCGCTTTTACCACAATCACGCAGTAATGCTGAAGAAATCATTGAACAAATTGCTATATTCGAGTTAACAAGGTCAGTAATTAAAGGAAATCACTCACAACTGGATGCACTGGCGAAATTAAAAATAATGTTCGACTTCGATGACAAGAAAGTTACTTTATTCATCAGTATTTGCTCATTGTGCAGTCTGTATCGAGATTGGAGCTCACGATTCCTTAGATTCAATAGTTTCCGCAATGAATTCCACTTCTTCGGTCATTAAAAAAGCCGCAAGCAGAGCAATTACAATTTCTCAACACATTCCAGTTCGAACCAGCTAAACAATACGCTAAAAATGATGAAGATAACAATCTGACTGTCAAATTTTTGTCACTTTTGTCAACAATCGGTTCCACATCCAATTATGTTCCACAAGATTCAGACAGCAAGAAATACTTAGAAATGATCAAAACAATTAACGGTTTTGTCAATGACGATTTGACAAAAAATTGCCAACAAAAAATTTTTGCCGATGTAAACATGATTTGTGACAATTTCATGTTACTTAGTTTATCATCATATATTTTGCTTCCTTCCAGGCAAGTATCGAAGATCTCATCCGATAAAATCATTTCCATGCTTGTTTCAAATTCATCGGAACACAAACAGAGGGAATTCGCTCTCCTCGCGATCTCTCAGATGCCGACGGCTCCGGAGTTCGATTATTTCGCTCTTTTCGACAAATATCCGGAACTGTCAAAAAGTGTCATGTCCGTTGCAGTTAGAAACAACAATAATCTTCTGATAAACCACATACTCCAGAAATCAGACGATTATTCGACCATTTTTGCTGTCAAACCGCTCATCACTTACATAGACCAAGATTTAGTTTTGGAGTTCATTAAAAGAAATGCTCCAAAAAGTGACATACAAACATTATTGTTATCGTCCGATGTTTACTCAAATCCAAAACATATAATTGAAGTATGCGGCCAAATAAGGAAAAGTGACATAACCGATTATGTAAACACGACATATGGTGAACGATTAAAGAACAGTTTGATGCGGTTGAAGAACGAAGAAATCGAGCAATACATTTACTCTGATTTCGATGATTTCGCGTTGATCGTAAGTCATTTAATGAATCTCTCAATTTCAAACATTTGTTGGAAGATCGTTAGTTCTGAAAAAGTGACATTTAAATGTATTGTCAATTTTGCATTCAGTCGGAAGAAGCAGTTATTTACTATTATAGAAGGATTGTTTGCTATATTGAACAAAGCGACTGTTTCACAAGTTGGCAAATGCATTTGTTATTTGTCTGTTTTCTTGTTGGTGAGAGAGAACAATCACCCTTTCAGAGCAATTAAGGAGACTTTGGATTCAAACAGAGATATCTTTGATGAGAAATCAATTGTTCTCCTTCTCCCTGCTTTGATTGCAAATTGTTCAGATATAAGAATTGAACATACATCTGTTTTCCAGAGAATAACAACTGAAAAGTATACTAATGTAATTGACGAAATAATCAATGCAAGTAAATTAAGTAAATAAAGATTTTTATACACTTTAATTTATTAAAAACGATACAACACAATTTTTTTGACATTCTCTCAATTTTTTTGACATTCTCTCAATTTTTTTGACAGGAATATTTTTTTTGGGAAAAGGCTATTTTAAATCACTATCGTGTACCTTATATTAATGTTATTCTTTTTTAGCAATTACATTAAAGATATATTGATATTACGGGAGCATGTCAGAAAGTGGTGAGTGAACCCTTAATAAGTGTCATATATAATTGAGATACTATCCATCCGGCTGTGTTTCAAATACCTGACAAAGGACGTGAAGCAACATTGAAGACTAAGTCATACAGATGTAGGTATATCAGAAAATTAAAGTTGAATCAATGCTGCAAGTCAGGATTCTCTAAACTCTCGTAATAGCATTCCAATTCTGAGAATTCCAAAAATATTTCGCTTAAAAAGTGCTTTCTATCGTTCTCCCGCCCCTGAAATTTACTAAAAGATTTCATTTCGTTAGAAACCAATAATTTAGATTAAATTCAATTCATGAATTTCAAACTTGTTTTTAACTCAAAACTTTGATGAGCTTTCTAAAACTAATTCCCGCTTACACTTGGCGGATTGTTTCATGATAGTTCTTATAAGTTTTCTTTCTTTTGGTGTTAGATCGTATATGCTAGGCTATCCAAATGTTATAATTTTCGATGAAGTATATTTCGGTAATTTTTCTAATGCATATCTCACAGAACATTTTTACAGTGACATTCATCCACCATTTGGCAAGCTTTTAATGGCAGGAATTGCCTATTTAACTCAATATCCAGGAAATATCAACTGGGGATACAAAGATATACAAGGATATGATGATAATGAAACAAATTATATTAATCTTCGACTTACGCCTAGCGTATTTTCGTCATTCTGTTCATTTTAATTTATTGTTCAATGAGAAATTTAGGATTTTCGATTTCAACAGCAACAGCAGCTTCCTTCCTTACTCTTTTGATATAACATCTATTGTTGAAGGTAGGTTCATTCTATCTGATGGAATGCTTCATTTCTTCAGCTGTCTTCATATTTTCGCTTTATACATTGTTCTTAAGGAAAACAAGCTTTCTACGAACTCTATTCGCCGGAATTAACTTGGATTTGCATTTTCATGCAAGCTTACTGCTGGTGGTTTAATTCTTTTGGATGGATTATCACAATTCATTTGGCTCTTGAAGAAACGACGTCCAATTGCGAAGATTATTGCCAGAGCATCATTGCTATTAGTCCCATGCTTCTCAATTCACTTAATTTGCTGGATAATCCACTTTGATATCTTAAAATTCAAAGATAACACTGGTGGAGCATATTCGGAAGAAGGATTTTCGCAATATCTATACAATCCCGATATAATGAATATTACATACAAAGGCTGGAGACTTCAAAACGAAATCACTTAAAAACAATATTTGAAGACTTAGTAAGGACACACCATGCTAACATGAGAATTACAAACCCTCATCCGTGGTCATCCATGCCAATAAATTGGCCTTTTTTACTTGATAAATATGTTATGTTTTATTCAGACGTAGATTACAACTTCATTCGTTGTCATGGATACACCAATGACATACTGGTCCTCATCAGTATTTCTAATTCTCACTCCTTTGCTCTTATTTACCAGAAAACTCGATTGGAGAATTATTATTACATTTTTCGGTTGGGCTTTTTCATATTTACCATTTATTATGGTTCTCGTGCCATGTACCTATATCATTTACATTGTTCCGATGTTTTTCGCTTCAATGAATTTGGCAGCAGTTTCTGAATGCGTTTTGAAGAATTGGCCGAAGATTTCTCTTATATTTAACATTGTTATTTGTGTCCTTTCCGTTACATGCACGATGTACTTTGCTCCATGGGTTTATGGCTATCGGTGCATGGATTGTGATGAAAAACTCGGTTGGATAAGAAGATGGGAGTTCGGACACCTGATAAAGTTAATTTCTTTGGAATTGATTCAATCAATACAACTCTCATCACCGGATCTTTTGTATAAATGTTATTTTTATAGTTCTTTTAATCATAATCTTTTTATATTTATCATTTATTATATTAAGAATCTTAAGGCTTGATTTAATATAACAGGATATATTTAAATGAAATTTATTATTCAACAATATGCGACACATAGTCAGAATGGAGCAATATGCACTATATTATAGCATATGATGCCTTATTAATGAAATTTAATCTTTCACATTTTGGAGGAAGCTTATACAGATGAGGCGAATTGGCATAATATTTTGCAGATTCCAGATTCAAAAATTTAATGTTTTCAGAAGATCCCCTTACTATTTGATCAAATTTCTCGAAAAGTACTCATTGAGCATAAGATATAATAATCTATTTAGTAGTTTTAGTTATATATGTATATGAATTTTAACGAAATAAGAAGTACAGAAAAAAACATCAAAGAAATGAATGAAATTACATTAAAAGTCACTTTTTATACACCGCTTTGTATCGGCCAAAAATTGAATGTAAAAAATTTATCATTTAATTGAATATTAATAACCATAAGTCAGAGTATAACTTTTATTGAATCACATGTATTCAAATTTTCAAATAACGGTCATATCACATAAAATGGCCGAAAGTAAAGCTGCAGCAGCAAGCAACTACCTTCAGCAAACAAAGATTACTGATGGTCTTCAGGAAGATCTCACAAAGATCCTCAATGAGCGCCCAGAAGATCCATTTGGTGCCCTCTCCAAACTCTTAAAGAAGAGAGCTCTTCCACCAGTTATCGATCATGTCAAGGGTCGTGAAGTTTTAGACTCTCGTGGAAATCCAACAGTCGAAGTTGATGTTTACGCTAAATATCTCGGCGATGTTATCTTCGCAGGCCGCTCATCATCTCCATCTGGTGCCTCAACAGGTTCCGGCGAAGCTATGGAACTTCGTGATGGCGATAACCGCTACAACGGCAAGGGCACAAAGAAGGCTGTCGCTAATGTTGATACAGCTATTTCCGAAGCTTTAAGGGCAAGCCATTCGACTCCCTTCAGGAACTCGATAATGCTCTTATCGAAGCTGATGCACAGAGCTCAAGACAAAGCTCGGCGGAAACGCTACAACAGCTACATCTTTCGCTCTCGCTGAAGCTGCAGCCAATCTCGAGGAGAACAAGTCTCTTTTTACCTCGCAAGGCAATACTACGGAGGCCAGATCCCAGAAGGCAAGAAGTTCCACATGCCAGCTCCATTCTTCAATATCCTCAACGGTGGCAAGCAGCGCAGGTGGCAACCTCAAGCTCCAGGAGTTCATGATCAATCCTAACCCAGCCAAGTACCAATTCCCAGATCAGCTTCGTGTTGCCTGCAGTTTATCAGAAACTTGGCCAAATCCTTTCCAAGGTCGACATTTCATACAAGAACTTTGGTGATGAGGTGGCTACGCTCCAAAGCTCGAGTCTCCAGATGAAGCTCTTAATTACATCGAAACAGCCATCAAAGAAGCCGGCTACCAGCCAGTTGAAGATGTCAGAATCGCTCTCGATGCAGCCTCCTCCGAATTCTACAATACAAACCAGGAACATCCAAACATGTACGAAGTTGAAGTCGGAAACTTCAAGACAGGCGAAGAGATGATCCAGTACTGGAAGGATCTCGTCGAAAAGCACCCAGCCATCATCTCTATCGAAGATGGCCTCGATGAAAAGGACTACGAAACATGGGCTAAGCTCAATGAGGCTCTTGGTGACAAGATCCACCTCGTTGGTGATGACCTTTACACAACTAACCCGAAGACAATCGCTAAGGGTCTTGAAGGAAAGTGGTGCAACGCTCTCCTCCTCAAGGTCAACCAGATCGGTACAATTTCTGAGGGTATGCAGGCTGCTCGCCTCATCCTTGAGAAGGACCAGTGGGTTATGGTCTCTCACCGCTCCGGAGAAACAGCTAACTCCGTAATCGCTGATCTCGCTGTCGGTATCGGAGCTCAGGCCATCAAGACTGGCTCTTGCGCTCGTGGCGAACGTATCCAGAAGTACACAAGACTCCTCCAGATCTACGAATACCTTCAGGAACACAACCTCCTCGAGTAAAAACTTTTTTTTCGATTTTCTATATTAACCAGAATTGTATTACTAACAAATGTTATTATTTCAATCAAATGAAGATTAATAATTTTATATAAATTTTCAAAATATGTAATTTGATACTTGAAATATGAATATATTGGCCTATAAATGAGTTTTCAAGGATCATATGCTCTTAAACATATTGGAAATATTAGATTCTCTACGAAAATAACTCTTACGCATTTTTTCTTAGAATACACTGTTATAATATTTAAGTTTACAAGCAATCCATGGAAATTTAATAGTAATAATCAGTTGAAAACATTATAATTCTTACTCATTCTCAAAAGAAATCAGAGTATGATGGCTTTATTTACCATAAAACATTCATATCCATCACCAGTATTCTATTTACTTTATCTGTTTAAGGCAATGTTCTATATATATATTTTGATTTAAAAATGATTAGTAAATTATCAATACAATACAAAAACATTTTAAATAACAAACATAAATTAGCAGCAGCAATAAAGGCCGCAATATTTTGCACAGCATCCATCGTCTTCTTCGTCTCCTTGTCTTCCATCGATGATCTGCTTTGCCATCTTCTTTCCAGACCTTGCACTAATTCTGCAAAGGAATATATTCGCAATGATACCAATGATTGCAATAATAAGGAACAAAATAAGTAATCCCAAACCAAGTTTTGGCCATGTGATACAAGGCGTTCTTGATGGATATGGAGTAAATGATGGAGAAGGAGCAGTTCTCTCTGGTGTATAAGCTGGTGTTGCCGGAAATGTTGGAGTAATCTCTGGAGTTGGTGCAAATGTGGCTGTAACAGTTGGCCAAAACGTTGCAGTAATAGTTGGCCAAAATGTCGCGGTTCTCGTCGGCCAAAACGTAGCAGAAATAGTAGGAGGCTTCGAGGCAGTTGGGGAAACTGTATATTGTGGAGTAACTCCTGGTGTAAGAGATAATGTGGCAGCGAAAGTTGCAGTAACTGTAGGATGAAAGGTGGCAGAGATGGTTGGAGACAGTGTAGGGAATAAGGAACGAGATGCTGTTGGAGTAAACGTAGCTGTAGCTGGTCGCCAGGCTGTTCCTCCTTTAATATAAAATATATTTCTGTAAAGTCCGATTAATGAAATTAACCTTCTCTCCGGTATCAATGGAGTCAACTGTAAATGCATCGGTTTCATTTCCAGCTTCAAAACGGCAGAATTCAACGTTAATTTTCATTAAACCTTCACGGACAAGGGTTGAATAAATGCGACTGTAAAAAACATAATCATCTATGCCTGTACATTTGTAAAAAAGCGATGAAACAAAATAATTTGGTTCAAGATTCTTCTGACCATTTTCGCCAAGGTCAGAATGATAAAATTGCAGGACCTACATTGGCCGTACACTCTATATAATCTGTTCTAAAGGTATCTAGCTGACCTCCTATCAAGTATATTGCTCCGCCCATGTATTGAGCAGTGCAGCTCTGATAAAGGCAGGAATTGGATCGTAAAAATGTACCAGTAGAAACGTACACTCCTCCATTTTCATCTGTGGAGCAGTAAATAAACGTGCATGACCAAAGTTGAAGTTTTTTATCTGTTTTAATCGCACTTCCGATACAATTTGTAAAATCAACTGTTTTAATCCATGTATTATTAGTATTAAATGTTGTTGTAGTCATTAAAGGTATGCAGAAAATAGACAACGTATTCTGATGGAATCGAGCTAAATTTTAGTGGAGACTTTAAAAATTTGGAAAATTTAGAGTTTAATTGTTTCACTACCTAAATTAGTCTTATATAAGAAATTTTGAAGCGAATCTTGAGACTTTTACGTTATTTAGTGCTAAATTCGTGAAATTTGAATATTTTTGTTGAGTAATAAGGGAGATTTACTCAAATGTTGGTTTATTGTCAATGATCTGATGACGAGTTCCCTTGATTTCGCCAGAGCGAAAAAAAGGGGAATCATCAGGAGATTTTTGATTTTATAAAATTTTTTTGACCCGTTTATAAAAAACATGAAAATCGCATTTTTATTTAAATTCATGATTGATAAACTTCTGAAAGGAAAACTATTACTAAAACAACCAAAATAATAAAGAATTTCATTAAAAAATCGAATTCAAAATCGCCAATTAATAAATAAAATAGGAAATTTTACTTACCAATTCATATTTTAGACAAAGTTTAAACAAATTGCGAAATGGCCAAAGAAGTAATACATACATTTAATTTAAATATCATCACAAATGCAACGCGAATGATAGAAAATTTCAAATTTCTCTTGTTTCATTGTGTAAACTTGATAAGATTATACCATAGGATAATTTTATGAAATATATTAAAGATAATAAAATTTGCACCATTATTAACTCTTATCAAGACAGCAAATATATTTCATAAAGTAAAAACAGATAAAGGTTAAAAGAAGTTATTTTTTTTAATTAAATAAATAAAAATTAACAATATATAATAAAAGTTAAGCAGCGAATGATTCGAACGAGTCTTCCTCATCCTGCTGTTCCTCAGAGAAGTTGAGTTCCTCACTCATACCGACCTTGCAGAAAATGAGTGAAATGAGGATTCCGAAGACAACAACGAAGAAGAGGATGAAGAAAGCGAATGTTACCCAAGCAGCTATTTTCTCTGCCTTTGTTAGTTCGGCTTCAGCTACAGATGTTGGGATTTTGATGTAATCGAGGTTGCAACTCGAAGTATTAGTGAAATTCTGGTAGACAAGGATGGAATCATTTGTAGAGATATTTGGATAGTGTTAGTCATGCATGATCTGCGAATTGCCATGGAAGAATAGTTAGATAAAGAAAGTGGAATTGAAGCATTAACAAAAGCAACGGCAAATATTGATGCATGGCTTGCATTAGTGTATGTAATTAAGGCATCGGTCTTTGCTGCTGCATTAAATTCAACAGATTCGAAACTTGAAGCAATTGAATCTGCAATTTTGATGTAAGGTATACCTTTATAGCGAATCTTCCACGCGAGTTCCTTTGTCATCTTTTCCTCATCTTCAGGTTTTTAAGATACTTGCCAAACTGGGCAGGAAAAATTTCTATCGAACTTACTCCAAGCAAAAATAACTTAGTCATTGCACCAACACAAGACCCATTCAGCATTACTATAGCTGGAACTGGTGGAGCCAAGTTCTGTGACTTTTGCAAAGACAAAGTTGACTTAGACTTTGGTTTCTCAAACTTCAACAATGAAGTAAACTATTATTTCAATGCTGCTGGAACTGCTTGGGACCCAGTTAAGTTTACATGCGAAAAGTTTGAATGCAAGAGAATAGAAAGCAGACTTGCAGTCTATATGTTGGACCCAGATATTTCAAATGCTTTAGCTGCCAAATATATTGGCAGTTCCACTTATGTTCCCTATACACCAAATATCTGTCAAAGACTTTGCAGGTGAAGTTGGAAAAGTGCTGACCCAGGTGCAAGAACAGATATTGCTTTAACAACTGCGATGAAACATGCAGATACTATGTTTGTACTGTTCAGACGAACTATAAATGACTATTCTTGTTTTCTACAACCCCGGTATTAAATATCATATAAACATAGATGGCAAATATTATCCAAGAGAAGAATATTCCACAGTTGAAGATATGAGGTCATACAACTTGACATTAGATGCTATGAACTTTAACAACAACTTCACAACAACCATTAACCCTGAAATGCAAAGTTCTATTATGCCATATGTGAAAGTATGGACCCATACAGGAGCTCAAAAAACTCAATATACAAATGGAGACCGTTCAAACTTTTGGCTTGGCATTCCATTTGCTGACTCAGAAGACTTTATGGGTGGTATTTCAACTGTTGGTACTGTACAAATACAATATACTGGTGACAGAGACGGTCCAGATGAATTGAAAGCAAAGAAGTTTACAAAACCAATAGCACTTTTCACGGAAGATGCTCTTTTGAAGATTCGTTCGATGAAACCTGCTGGGGCTCCTCAGATTGGCATAACGACAGCTTCCATTGAGCAGATTTTGGCAGCAGGTCAGTAAGTTGTTCTTGAACTGACTTCTCTCCATCGTAAATAGTTATGACACCAGTTTTGACATAAAATTGTATTATAAACTTACCTTTAGAAATATCTGTAAGTTTTGTTGTTATATTTTTGTCAACGTCAAGAACTTTCACCATTTCAGTTATACCAACTTTCTTTGCTTTATGAAAATATTTTGGTTCAGCAAAGACTGCTATTCTATAACATTTACCATTGTTTGTATAAAGAACTATTCTGTCAATGTATTTGTATTGTTTGTGTGTGTAAACTTTGTTCTGCTTCAATTCGAAGAGATACTCGAATACGTCCATCTTTTTATTCTAAGTAAAATGTCATTTCCGAAAAATAGAAGCGTAAGTGTTTCAAAAGGTTTAATGGCGGTGGCAGATGTGAAGTTAAATTCACCAACTCAAACAAACAGTCAAAGTGTTGTTGTCAATGTCAAAGAAAGAGATGTTGAAGTGGGGAAACCATACGAAGACGAAAATGGTATAACAATAGTTCCTGTAAAAGAACCAACATACCCTGAAGTTAGCAGAGACTTAAGTTCTGTTGCAGATATTCGAAACGACTACCAACAACTTAAAGACAAACTTAAAACTCAGGAGAAGATTTGTCAAGCTTTAAGTATAATGTTAAACTTGGTCGAACACAACCCTGTAAAAGTGAACTCATATGTCATTGCACCTCATGAAGTTTTGAAAGAACTATTGAAACTTTTGACAGAGGCAGACGATATAAACATCAAAGAAATAGAACCCGACATTAGTTGCTGTGGTGTTTCATATAATGCATTGACAAGATATACGTTATGAAAGGAGGTGAAACGTTGAATTTAAAATATAGTTTCCCAGACGTCATAAAAATATTTGACGACCACAACATTTCATTAAAATTTAGTTGCTAAGTAAATGGCAGAAGACATAGTGGTTTATACTATTACGACTAAAAACCCTGAGTCATATAATTCTATAACAACAAACTTACAAAGTCCTCAAGGACGATATTGTAAACTGACCTTAAACACGATGACGACTAAAGCCTGTTTTGCTCTTTTGACACCAGAAGATTTTATTGTTGTGAATGGTAAAAAATACTCCTTTGAAGATACTTACTCAGATATACCACCAACAGGTTTTGTTGACTTATTTAATACTTTAAGGACGGATGTAACATGTGCTGCAACTAGAGCAGGTTTCATTATGTTTGGATGTCCGACTGAGTTTACTATAAACGATATGAGCTATAATACAAAACTTATATCTGGTTTTTACTACAACAGTTTCCTATAACAGGAAAGGGTGTCATACAAGGAATGTCTATTCCATTGACATTAAGCACACCAATCTTATATATTGTTTCAAACTTAGGTTCAAAGTGTTATTCGAATGTCGACAGAAACTACTATGACCAAAAGATACTCATGCGTATAAACAACACTTTCTCTGCTGGTTTGCCTATTGTTCATTCGAATGCAGAGTTTTCAGCTTTAGTAAACTCAAACACTTTAGCAAACATAAACTTAACCTTAGTTGACGCAAACTTTGTTCCTGTAAAAACTTTTATGTCCTATGTATTTGTCAATGACGGCAGAAAGTTTCGAATTGGAAGATGCAACTGGTGAAAGTATTGTATTACAAGAACAACTTCAACAACAAATAGCTCAAGAACAACAAATGGAACAAATGCAACAACAAAGTCAAGAATAAAAAAAATATTTTTTTTATTTTTATAAAAATGTACAGAATAGATGTTTCAGATTTTTATGACTTCCAAGCCTTCAGAAATATGTGTCCATTTAGAGACTATAACAAAGCAGTCGAGAATTTGAAACGTTTAGTCATTTATGTTGACTCTGCCCCAGAATGTTATGTTATGAAAGAATGGGATGTTGTCTTTAACAAACCTAAAGCAACAATAGTGTCTGAACAAGAATGTAGACAGAAACTTAAGAAAATAAAAGTCGTACAAGTTGGCATGAAGATGTTAGATGCTTGGGATATCTTATTGTCAAAGTTAGAAGATTTTTCAGTTCGAGGTATAAAGTTTTATACACCTTCTCCAAACTTCTATTCTATCTTCACTGGATATAAATACGAACAAGTAGAATGGAAACACAGTATTATAGAAGCTTGGTTAGACCATGTCAAAGAAATTATATGCAATGGAAACGAAAGAGTCTATGAGTATATCTTATGTTGGTTTGCAAATATCTTACAACATCCAAGTGCTAAAAATGAAACTGCTCTCATTATAATTGGAAAACAAGGAACTGGTAAGAACACATTCTTTACAGATATCTTATGCAAACTATTAGAAGGTTATTCGAACCCTAATATGACAAACTTAGAAAACATCTGCGGTAAATTTAACTCTTCAATTGAGAATATGAAACTTATAGTTTGCAATGAACTTCAAAGTATAGATACAACAAAAATTTTGAACTCAGATGCTTTGAAGAGTCTTATAACAGACAAAGTTGGAGTTGTTGAAAGAAAATATAAAGACCAAAGAGTTTGTGAAAATGTTGCAAACTTCATTATGGTTTCAAACAATGCTGTTCCGATGAAGTTAGAAAGTTCTGACAGAAGATATGTAGTTGTCAGAACGTCAGATTCTCATATGCAAGATACAGAATATTTTGACGACTTAGCAGAAACTTTGACACCTAACTTTTACAACCACTTGTTCTCATATTTCATGACATTAGATATTTCTAAGTTCAATCCAAGACAAATTCCACATACCGAAGAAAGACAAACATTGTTAGAAGCAAACAAGAGTGTATATGAACTGTTTATAGATGAAACTGACTTTGAGTGTTTAGATGAAAGGTCATTGTACGATTCGTATAAACAATATTGTCAAGAATATGGTTATATGGCAGCTTCTAAACGAACATTCTTGGCAAATGTCAAAAGTCTTTTAGATGTTCAGAACGGCGTATATACAAAGAAAAATTTTTCTGAGTAAATTTTAAAAAAATATTTTTTTATCCGATAGAAAAGATGGCAAAATTCATCTCAGTAAATAAGTACATGACAGAAGTCAAAGATAAGTTAGCTCCATTCGCATATTTGAATGTTTACTTCTACAATTTTGAAAAGTCTACATTTGACAAAATTTGGAACATTGCACCAGTTAAGTTTGCTGTTGTTAGAAAAAGTGGTGCGAAATTTGAAGACTTATACATTGACGGTATGTTGACAGTCAAAGAAAATTTTGACAGAAAGTTCTCAAAACTCGAAGAAGGTAAAGCATACAAACTTGTTATACCTTATGAACCAAAGAAAGCAGACGACTATGAATATTATGAGTCTAAGATAGTTGAAGTTCAAGGTAAATTGGGTAAAAAGATTTTAGAGTCTAAGCCAGTGTTTGCCCCTAAAGAGGAAGAGAACATTGACATTGACCCAGAAATGTTCTAAAAATAAAATTTTATTTTTACATGTCAAATTTCTTTTTCTCTGGAACTGGTTCAGGTTCTTTCTTCTCTTCTACTTTCTTTTCTTTCTTTTCTTTCTTTTCTCTCTTCTTCTTCTTTTCTGGTGGAGTTATGTCAAATTTCTCAGAACCATATTTATGTAAAAGTTCTTTGTCCTTTAATAGCTCTTCTATTCTGTTTTCTATTTCATTTTCAAGAACAGCGCATGTGTCTTCTTTGCATTCTAAGAACTTTTGTTGGACTTCATCTTTCCAATCGGCGTCATCTCTGTCAACAAGTCTGTCATTGACAAACTTAAAGACTTCTCTGCCTAATGTTTTATGGTTCTTGTCATATTCCCAGAAACAGAACTTTAGAACAAATTCACCTTTCTTGTTTACACTATGTAAGATTTTATGGTCGACAGATGTTTTAGAGTCGAAAAGCTTGTCTCGAATATAGATAGCGAAATCACTAGACATTTTCTAAAAGATAAAAATTTTAATTTTTCTAAAAATATGTTAGAAAAAAAGTTTGCTGACATTGACAAAAAATTTGAGAATGTTTTAAACAAGAACAAGAGGAAGTTAGAAAATGCTCAGATAAAGCCTATACATGACAAGTTCTTATTTGCTCAGAATGGTATAACAGGTCTAATCGCACCACCTGGGTCGGGTAAGACTTTCACTTATCTTAAAATGGCTGCACAACAACAAGAACTAGATGAGAAGAACCCATTCTATGAGTTAGTTGTTATTTGTTCGACTTCTGGTCAATTTGACCAAACCGTCAATTCGTTCAAAGATATTATAAAGAAGTCTAAGTTAGTATGTATAAAGGATACTGAGTTGTTAGATTGGATAAAGAAGTACCAAAGAAGAGTTTTGAAGTATAATGCTATAAATGAGTATATAAATTCGAAGTTTAAAGACCCAAATGAGGAAATGCAGAGAATATTAGAGAAGAAACACTTCAGAAACAAACAGAAAGAGATAGAATACATTTCGAAGAAATTGCAATCTTACGATTGGAAAACGTACCCTCATAGATGTCTTCTTATCTTAGATGATTTCGCCTCTCATCCTTTGTTAAAGAACAGAGAACAAGACATGTGTCGAATTCTTAAGAAGCTCAGACACTTTAACATTTCAGTTGTCATTTGTGTACAGACAGCAAAGAGTTTAAGTAAGGATGTTAAAAGAATACTTACTGACATTATACTTTTCCCCGGATTGTCCGAAGACGATTTCATGGAACTTATGAAAGAGTCCATGGCAGGTAAGTTTGACAGACATGAACTATGGGAGAAGTACAAAGTCATACAAGACCCTCATACTTCTTTCAGAATTCATATCTACGCAAACAAAGTTCAAATTGTAAAAAGTCAAGCTTGAAAAATCTAAGTGTTTAGTCTTAGTCTGTTGTGGTGCTGGGGCTGTCGGTTCTTCTGGCTTTGGAATGGACTCGGTTGGTGGTACGTCGGACATTCGTTTGTGTCCTGTCGGAAGGAAGAACTTTTTCTGTTGGAAGGAAGAACTTTTCCTGTTGGAAGGAAAATTTTTTCCTGTCTGATGGAAAAATTTTTCCTGTCGGATGGAAAATTTTTTCCTGAAGTTCGACCAAAAAGTTCTCAATTTTCGAAAATTTGAATGGTTTACGGACGGACAACTGGAAAATTTTTTCTTGTAGGAAGGAAAATTTTTTCTTGTCGGATGGAAAAACTTTTTCTGTCGGAAGGAAGAACTTGGAATGTCGGAAGGAAGAACTTGGAATGCCAGAAGGATTTGACAAGCCAATTTACCATCTAGAGCTACCTGAGCCATCTGAAGTCAAGCGTAAAAATAAATGGTTCATTTACTCTGCTTGTTTGAAGTTGTCAAAATACTCTGTTATTTTTTCTTTCAGTAGCGGCAAATCTTCTTTGAATGTAAGTATTGTACAACCTTTAATATCATAGTGTGTTTGAGGTAACGTATCTTGAACTATTTGTTTCACATCTTCATTCGGTGTCATTGAAATCGGTAAGTTTTCGCGATAGAACCAATTTCTGTCAGATTTGTAAATCTTAGCAAGGTCGTAAAAGCTTTTGTTGTTTCTTCTGACTAAATGCAACATAACCATATCTCTGTCTTCTTCATTCTCCAACTCTTCAGTATAAATCATATACTTATAGTTCTTTTCCTTTCCTTTTGGTACCGAACGTGGTATTCTTTTCTGAATGCTTTTGTCTTTTGCTTCAAGCTTGTTTTCCATCTCTTCACGTTCTTGTCTATGAATTTCATCTAACATCATGAAAATATAACAAGCGTAACGAGGTGAAGCCCACATTGCAACAGCATTTACAAGAAGTCTATGTACATAATATCCTCTCAAACCAGGAGCCAAATTTTTACGATTTTCGTACGGAATCTCGACTCGCGGTTTTCCTCGGGTCGCAAACATATGAGGAAATTCTTCTAAAAGTTCTTTTGTCTGTTGGTTTTCAAACCAATGACGTGCTTGCTTTGTAGAACGAAGAGCATTCAAAATACTTTGCATTTGGTACATATCGTCTTTGACTGAACGAATGAGACGGAGTTGTTTGTTATATTGTATGTACTCGTATTCTTCATTTATAGCTTCATGGACTATAACTGTTGTTGTGTTCTCTGTTGTTGACATATCTGTCTTTACATACAAAATAAAAAAATAAATAAAAATAAAACTAACTTTATTTTTTCTGACTTTCACAAAAGACCAAAAATAAACGCTTTACATGTATTTTTCAGCAACTTCGTCAAATAATTTTATAGCTTTATCTATCTCATCTACTTCAAACGTTTCTTTACCTTTTATGGGAGCACCATATATTTTCTCAAACTTTTCAAGTAGTTCTGTTTCTGCAGCTCTCATATCATTAGCAAACACAACCTTAACTCTATTGACTGTACTGTCATATCTTTGAGTTATATTATATGTTCTTCCTATCTTATATCTCTTTGTATTGAAGTCCTTCGGTTTCTGAACGATGTAAAGTAAGCCTTCACTGCAACGTTCTGAGTCGAATAAACCATATGTTATGAAGTTATATCCAACAACTGGGTCTAACCATAACAAAACTATTGGTATAAGACTTTTGTCGATGAGATATGCTGTAGTTCCATAGAATCTTACCGATATCATAAGCTCAGGATTTCTTGTCAAAATTTTCTGAGTAGAAGCATTTCTAACCCAGTCGTGTGTTTTCTTTCCAGATAGTGTTAAAATGTCTGACAAAGAATATTTTTTGTATTTCTTTGAGTATCTTACGTTTAAATCACCAATTCTAACCACTTTGGTCTCATTGTCTATCTTTTTAACTGTTTCAAACTCAGTGTTTGTCATTTCTATTCTTACATACAAAATAAAAAAATATTTTACAAAAAACTAACTTTATTTTTTCTGTCTTAAGGAAATTCATGATTTTCATAGAGTTTTAGGCGACCAGGATTTCTTACCTACTCGCTGTTCTTCATGATTTTCATAGAGTTTTATGCAAGACCGAAGGAAGTCGGTCTAGAGAAATTTCACTGTTTTCGTACGGAATCTCTTCTCTCGGTTTTTCCGAGGTAAGCAAACATATGCCATTTTACTCAGATTTTTGTGCTGAATTCAATAAAAATAATGTTTATGTTAGAATGTTAGATCTAACATGTTTTCTAACATGTTTTCTAACATGGTCTAAAACACACAAAACTCATGAAATTTCATACGGAATTCAATAAAAATAATGTTTATGTTAGAATGTTAGATCTAACATGTTTTCTAACATGTTTTCTAACATGTTTTCTAACATGGTCTAAAACACACAAAACTCATGAAATTTCATACGGAATTCAGCAAAAATAATGTTTATGTTAGAATGTTAGATCTAACATGTTTTCTAACATGTTTTCTAACATAACTATTTACAAGCGTTTTACATGGTATATGTTGCGATGGTTCATGACTCTAAACAATTTTGTAGCTTCTATTTCTTCTGTCAGTACATCGAATGTTTTAACGATACCGAAAGTTTCTTTATACTTCTTCTTGACATCAGATAGAAGGAAATCGTCAGCAGTTGGATAGTTTTTGTTCAGAAATTCTAACATGTTCATTTTATCTTCTGCTGGTTTTTCTGCTTCTTTCTTTAAATCTGCATAGTCGTTTCGCATACGTTCTATCTCTTTGACGGAGTAGTTATATTTCCTCATTGCTGCCTTACATTTAGAACATTGCGGGTTCATTTTTGCGTTATATTCTGAAACCTTACCTGCTAAAACAACTAAGGCGTCAATGGTTTTCTTCATCTCGAACATAGCGGGTTTTATTTGTTCGTTCCATACCTTACCCCTACTATCTTTATCTCTTATCTGCCATACACATTTTGCAACTAACGAAACAAAGTTGTCGTAGGTCTTAAACTCCCCCGATTTATATATGTCAGAAACATTCTTATATACCATGTCGCAATCTTTGTCCATAACCTTATGGTTGCAATGAAATCCTAGAAACTCATAGTTTACCTTTCGTATGAACTTCTTTATTTCTACTGAGTCAGTTGCTTTGACTTCTATTTCGTCAAATTCGGGAATGGTTAGTTTTTGTTGTTGGATTTCAGGCAATTTGGGTAAATGGTCAATAATGTCCTGCATTTCATAAAGATACTGTTCATTTGTTTCATCTTTCGCACTACAGTCTAAATTATTTGTTAAAAGTTCTTGCTTTATCTTCTGGATTTTTGTTTCGAAAGTATATGAAGAAGGAATGAAGCTTTTCATCTCTACTAACATTGAAGTTGGGTTCATGACTAAAGAGTTTGGTGCTGTTGTTGCTAACATGTTCTTACAATAAAAATAAAAAATATTTTTTTTAAAAAACTAACTTTATTTTTTATGTTTTTTGTGAAAGTGTCAAAATTCATGAATTTCGAGAGTTTTCTACGATGTTAGAAAACGTGTTAGAAAACATGTTAGATCTAACATTCTAACATAAACATTATTTTTGGGTCTTTTACGCTCATTACGAAGAAGTCTTGACAAAACATGTACGATGAAGTCTTGACAAAACATTTACGAAGAAGTCTTGACAAAACATTTACGAAGAAGTTTCGACAAAACATTTACGAAGAAGTCTTGACAAATTCAAGAGGGTAGAAATGAGGTTAGAAAACAGGTTAGATCTAACCTTCTACCCTAAATTATATTTTTGCCGAATTCTGTATAAAACTCATGAGTTTTCTACGATGTTAGAAAACATGTTAGAAAACATGTTAGATCTAACATTCTAACATAAACATTATTTTTGTCGAAAAAAATGGTTCATTTACTCACAATATTTTTGTACAAAACGACCCCAAACTTTTAACTTCTTTTCTGCAGCTTCAAATGCTATCTTAGCGAGTTCATATTCTCTAAATTCTCTCTTTAAATCTTCTTGTTCCCATTGGTCTAGTTCGTATGGCGAGTCTCTATAACCAGAACATATCTCACGTTCATGTTCTATTTGTTTTTCATGCATTTTTCTAACTTCTTCTTCGAACAAAGGTTTTGCATTCTCTACTGTATCTTCAAGTTCTTCTTCATCTAATTTCTCATGAACTTTCTTGTCTATGGAGTCCAAAATTTTTCCAACTGCTATACAATATTTTGGAGAAGCCCACATTGCTATATAGTTTACAAGTCTTGGGTCTACATACATTCCTCTAACCTGTTTGATTTCATCAGGAATTCCTGCATGAATTTTGTATAAAAAGCAACCCGCTGTTTTCGGCGGGTTGGTATATTCTTCACAAAATGCCTTAAAATACTCTTCCCAGGACTTATTTTCCAACAACCTTCTAAAGTCTTTCCTAACCTGCTGACACATATTTGTTGCATTTACATAACCATCCTTGTCTCTACGTAAGACTTCAATACCGTTATAAGTGCCTTTTGTGAATGTTTCGCCATTATATTTGTTAGTGAATGTTTTTGCTTCGACTGACATTTCTGTTCTTACAATAAAAATAAAAAATATTTTTTTTAAAAAAACTAACTTTATTTTTCTATCTTAAGGAAATTCAAGAGGGTGAGAAAACAGGTGAAAAAATGAGTGAATGTCACCTATAAATTATATTTTTTACTGAATTTAGCAACAACTTTCTCTCAATTGGAGCTGTGGCATACTCTTTGCGTAAGCGGTTCAGACCTTCTTCGAACTCTTGGTCTCTCTTCGATTTGGATTGAGGTGGAAATTGGTAGTAATTTGGTGGAGGGACTTGCTGGAACTGAGGTGCAGGGGCTGGTGCTTTAGGTTCCTCTGGTTTGGGAATGGACTCGGTTGGTGGGACGTCGGACATTCGTTTGTGGCTTAACCGTCGGACCACAACGATAAAAATCTCTGCTCCTAGCAGTACTGCTACTGTCAGTAGCAGTACTTTTACTGACAGTAGCAGTACTTTTTTGACAGTAGCAGTACTTTTTCTGACAGTAGCAGTACTTTTACTGACAGTAGCAGTACTTTATCGTCGAAAACCCTCTCAAATTTTCCTTTTTTCTGCTCCTAGCAGTACTTTTACTGTCAGTAGCAGTACTTTTACTGACAGTAGCAGTACTTTTACTGACAGTAGCAGTACTTTTTCTGACAGTAGCAGTACTTTTTCTGACAGTAGCAGTACTTTTACTGACAGTAGCAGTACTTTTACTGACAGTAGCAATGGACAACATCGAGCCATTAGATGAGGCAATTTACCTAATTGAAATTAACGAGCTTGTTAAAGACTTCCTCAGGCAGAATGTAAAAGGCAAGCTTGTTAACTGTTGGATAACGGGAAGGGCTGCCTTGAATCTCGAGACTTCGACTGGAATTCCAATTCAAATACCAGACGGGACAGCCTACGACGACATAAAGCAAGCAAAGAAAGAAGCTCTTGTTAAGTTCCTAAACAAACGTCCTTGGATACAACTTCCAAACAGAGAGAGTCCAATTCCACGAATTATACAAATTCTCAGAGCACTGTTCCACTTCTCGGGTCAACCATTCTACATAACCTGTGAAGGCGACATCCAACCAGTTCAGTAAACATCTCATTTTAACTTCACTTTTTTATGTTTTTTGTGAAAGTGTCAAAAATAAATTGTTTTCATGAGTTTTCTACGATGTTAGAAAAGTGGTTAGAAAACGTGTTAGATCTAACATGCTAACATAAACATTATTTTTCAATACTTTTTCAGCACTTTTCCGTAGTTATATATGAAAGACAATTCGAGATAAAAGTCATAGTACAATGGAATAATATGTTGCACACCATTTGTTGTGAACCAAACTTGAAAGTCAGAGAAACTGTTACTAGGTGGTTCGTAGAATTTAGAAGCAAAGTCATAAAAGTCCTTACCAATACATAGAAAACTATTGTTGCTTGAACTGAAACTTGCATGACACATAACATTTTGAGGGTCAAACACGTTTCTATAAACTGTCAAATCTGCTGGTGGAAGTATAAATTTAAATGGACCATCTGGTGGTAATGGTTCGTTCTGGTTTAGTAACCGAAGAAATTGTGCCCAAGAACGTTTGTCTACTTTCCAAAATAAAATCTCTGTATCTCTTGGAGGGTTAATTTCAATCTTTTGAAATGAAACGGTGGAGTTCATCTTGTCATATTCTAGTTTCAGATAGTATGTTCCATTTAGTAAAGAGTCGTATTTTTCTTGAAATTCCCAATAATATTTGTTCATTTGAGTTTGAAAGTCATTTAGAGTTTTCTCAAGACTTTCGTCTGAACGAACTGTAAAGATTCTCATTTCGTCAAATTTGTCTATTAGACCATCAGAACCTTTATACTGCCCATGAAAATATACTGCGAACATAAATGCGTTAGTTCTTTTTGAAAACAAAACTTTTCTAAATCCTATTGCCTTTGCATCTGAAGGACTTTGAAGCCAACGAATTGGATAGTCAAACCTGTATGCTCGGGATGAAATTTCTTCATCTGAAATAGTCCTACCAGCATTTGTAAAGATATAGTCTAACGGTTTTGTATCTGCTACTTTTGTTCTTTGTTTTTCAACCTGAAGCATTTAATATATGTAAAAATATATTGTTTTAAAATGGTATGCCATTTCATATTTCTCATCTAACAAACAAGTTTCCTTCAACTTGAGGTTCACTAACAAACTCAGCGTACATTTCAAATAAAATTAAAAAAATGTCACTTTTTAAAAAATAAATTTTTTATTTCATGCAATGTTTTATTTCTGTGCCGTCTTCAAGTATGCCCCAATACTTACGCTTGGAGAGGACATGAACTTCGGTGAAAATTTTGTCCAATTTGAATCGACCCATCTTTTCACCGACTAAACCCATTTCAATGAGTTTGTTATAGCCTTCTTCGTTCGTCATGAGTGCGTCAATGTTCTCATAGTAAACCTTCACTTTGGATTTGACTTCGGAGAAGAATTTGTTGTACTCGTCAAGGACTGCCTTTGCGAACTGAGGGTAAGACCAATGTTCGACAATAGGTTTTAATGTGGTTACTAAGCCACTTTGACCTTGAGTGAATTCGTACTTCAAAACAAAAGGAGAAAACCTTTCAACAAAGTTGTCGACCTTCTCATAATGTTTACTCTTCATCTTTTGAGGTTTCTTAATGGAATATCCCCATGTCGAATTCATAAGCAATTTGAGTGTCATTGCAAGTTTGGGGTTTGAAGCTTTCCTAATATCATACAGTTGTTGTATGACTTTTCCAACTGTATAGTTCCTTCCCGGGAACTCACCATCTTCGTTTGGAATTCCAGTCGGAATATATTGGACAAACCTCATGTATGCAGCGTTAAGGTCGACATAGTATATCTTTTCGTTTGAGTCGAGCTTGTCGCAACCAATTGGTCCAGTTTGTGGAAATTCAAGTGAGTCTCTTATCTTCTGAGAAACTTCTCCTGTTATCTCATAAACATCGTCGAAGCAACCTGTTTCATATAAAACCTTCTGACCTAACTCAGGTGCTCTCCAATACAATTTGACGTCAATTGGATGTCTCAATGGAAGTTTGTTTATAGCATCTTGAAGTTCTTGCAACCTCATTGGAAGTTCTTCTGGTTCAGGTTGGTATCCGAACAATCCAACTCCTTGTGGAATTGTGTACTTCTTTTTGTACTAGAACTTTGTCTGGAACAACTTTTTGGTCTTGCTAACAGTGAAAAAAGTTTGTTTTCGTCTTTTGGTACAAAAGTTTCTGTCAGCTTGTCATCTGGAATTGGTTCCAACAAACCTTTCTCGAAAAAATATTTACAGCTCTGACAATGTTGCACTTACTTTTACCAAAAAATGGGTTTGTAAGACTTTCGTTCAACATGAAGTGGTTGTGGACAATTACAATCTCTTCAACCATGGTAAATTGAACTCAACAACATAGTCGTCATGTGAAGAACCTTTAGCTGTAGGTATGTTGACTCGGATATTAACATTTGCCAACGGTGCAATTTTTGCCAATTGACCTCTGAGAATGTACCATTGTCTTCACACATGACTCAAGATACTTCATCTTCTCTTCTGTAACAAGACCAGAGTTCCTGAGACATGTAAGAATGCAAGGTTCATTGACAATTGTTTCTATTGAATTGTAAAATTCATACCTTGTCAGTCAATGTCAGACTTATTTATGAAGGGGAAGTATCCAGCATGTTGTCTGACTGCTTGAGGGTTAGGTTGGTACCATTCGAACTTGACACTTGCAATTCCTTCAATTGCATTCAAAATGTCTGAGTCGGAGTCAACCATTTGTTCTCTCTTTGTAGTCTTGAAAGCGTCAAGAAGCATTGCAGCTGTTGTGACATTGCCATGTGCATAGTAAATATGACCATCTAAATCTGTTACGGTTAGTCTGAGATTGTATCCTTTCTTATTTCCGTCTTGATTGCAGCAAGTACTCCCATGAAGCCTTCTTTGTTCTTTCCTTCGTCAAAGTTTACTGTAAAGGTTCGACCAGATGTAATTTGACTTCTAAACTTCACGATACTTCTCATATGCATATCTTGTTCTTTATGGGAGCATGTGCGTCTTCACCTTTTCCTTTTTCCTTCTCAAAGGATGCAATTGTTCGTCATGTTTCCAGTAGAATCTGGCAAAGCCGTCGTGTCCTTCAACTTGAGGTTCACTAACATCGAAAGGCATGTCCATAAGACGTTCTTCTTCTAACCTCCTAATCTGTTTGGATAATTGGCACGTGCTGTTTCCAAATCCATTTCGTAGCGAAGACCAGCCAGTTTGTCATAGACTTTTATGGGTCTTCCCTTCCTATATTTAAACTTCTTCGAAACTCTCCAACCATATCTTTGCAACTCTGCTTTTATTCTAGCAGACTTTCTATCCATTCTATATGGGGGGCATTTTTATAAAAATAAAAAAAATGTTTTTTTTCTTTACTTTACATAACCCCTGCTGCCATAAGTCTTTGACGCCAACCCATACCAGCTAATGAAGGTTGACTTGGTTTAGTTTGGAAACTAAACTTTGTTTTTGGTTTATCTTCAGTTTTTGGTTTCTCTTCTTCTATCGGTTTTTCGTCACTTTTCGGTTCCTCTGACTTTACCTCACTTGCAGGTATGGTTGTGTCGTCAACATCTTCATAAATATCATATGCCATTTGTTTTGTTTTCTTTCAACTTTTTGTGTTTGTTGTAAAGTTTAGAATATTTCGACTCTAAGTCAATGAGATGTTCTATAATGAACTGTTGGTCAGTGAAGTAAACTTTTCCATCTGTTGTCTCGAAAGCTCCTTCAGACTTCAATATTTTATTTGTGAGAGTCTGTTTCTTTTTTGAGATACTAGCCGTTCCATTTCTATGAAAAGTGACTTTATAGTTAGGGTTTGTATTTCCAGACCTGGCACTTTCTATTATTGAATTTTTCTCTTCATCTGTAAGTTCTTTGACAGGTTTTGACAATGGTTCTGAACTTTTTGTTTGTGGTGTCAAATCTACCGTTTCAACTTCTTCGGTCATTTCATCTCAGTAAAAAATTTTAGTTTGGTTTGTTTTCAACTGGTTGTTGTTGTTTTTTAAGTCGGTCTAAAACTTCCTGAGGTATAGGAAGAACTTGACAAACACGTTGTGTAACTGCTGGAAGTCGACAAATCCATCTTGAACCCATTTGTCTCAATGCTGTATTGTTCATTTCATCTCAGTAAAAAAAATTTACATTCCCCACGTTTGAGGCGGTTGAGGTTGGTTATTGTTTACCCATTGTTGTGCATGGTTATATCCTCTGTTAAAGAATCTTTCACCTTGGTCCATATAGTGTCCTGCTTGGTTATAGTAGTCATTTGCTTTGTTATAATAGTTTCCTGCTTGTCTTCCTACATTGTCCATCCATCCTTGAACTTTTCCTCTTGTTTCAGGATTTGGAATAAGATTTGCTGCATCTCGTGCTACATCCCAACCTTTCTGTACAGTTTGTATAATAGGTTGTGCTTCTCTTTAAGTATACCTAATGTACTCAAAAATCTTCCTTCCAACTCCAAATACACCTCTGGCTATTGTTCCAACTGCGGGCAAAAATCTGGATGCAACTCCTGCTAATGCGCCAAATAAACCCATTTCTTATGGGGTAAAAATGACGAATCCAAACAAGGACCCCTATGTTTCTAAAGCGACAAAGAAAGCACTCATGGTAAAAATCTTTAGTTCAACACCAAATGCTTGGTTTATGGATATCTTGGAAAACATTCCGAGGTATAGAGAAGATGGACCACCATACTGGCTAATATTTGTTGGTCAAAACACAAGATACTGTGAAGCCATACCATTATGGTCCAAAAATATTTTAGATGTGAAAACTGCTTTGACAATATTCGTTGACAAATACCATCCAACAAAACTGACATCTGACTGTGAAAGTTCTTTCAAATCAGATGATGTAAAAAACTATCTGCGTTCAAAAAATGTAAACCAATATTTCATTGTCGACCAAAACCATTCTGCTCTTGGTGTCATTGACGGTTGTATAAAAATGTTAAGAGACTTAAACCAACCACAAGGTGGTGAGGTAGATGAAATGTCATATGACGACAAATATAGACACTTCTCCATGGCAAAGATGAGACAAGTTTTAAATATTTACAATAACCGTAAACAAAAAGGTTTGGGAAACCACTCCCCCGAAGAAATGAAAAACAACCCTGACTTAGAGAAAGACTATATATTTAATTAGTTTAGTCAAAAAGACAAACAAGAAAGAATGCCAGGCTTCAAACTTAAGAAAGGCGACAAAGTAAAAATAGAAATACCTAAACGCGACCCATATGAAAATACTATTGACTATGACAACAATGGAACCCGACAGTACTCACATTCGTGTTCGTAAAAATAGAAGAAAGTATACAAGAGAATATTATGAAGTTTTAGGCAAACATGGCAAAATGTACAGACTGCAAGCAGAAGATAAAACTACTATTGTCAGACCTCGTTTCAAACTTGTCAAAGTTCAAGGTGGTATACTTTCAAAGACAGTTCCTAACAAATATAAGACAACTCCTACGAATATGCTAAAGAAGTTGAAAATGACGACTAAGCATTTCTATACCATGCGTAAACTGTCATGTAAGGTGGCATGTAGTCTTTACTTTGTCCCGTTGTTTGCGTATATCCTGAAACGCGATGTGTATGGTTTCCTCCTCCCTCAGTGTTACTCCAGAAACAATTTATAGCAAACTTAACGTTGTCTTTAACATCATATCCTTTACCTTTTGTCATTGCTGCCCAATCCCAATATCTATGCTTATGCCAACCCGCTTGAGATGTACTTAAATCTATGTAGTGACTGTGTGCAGGTAAATTTTCACCTGAAATCGTTTTACTTCCTCCTGTTTCCTTTGAAGAGTTTGCACAATACAAAAACCTGTCGACTATTTGAGTCCAAGTTCCAAAACCCAGAACTGTTTCTGATCTGGTAGAGTTCATTGACGTATAAATAGAGCCTATAGGATATAATGTTTGAAGTATTTCTGTCTTTAATGTTTGAAGCTCTGTTTTGTCTGCTTTCTTGTCATATAAATCTTGAGCAGTGAATTTAATATTATGTTCATCCTTCATGACATAAACATCTTTACATCTAATGTTTTTCATCGTCGTTATGTCGTCATCCGATGTTAAACCTTGTGGAAAGTTAGGAGGTTTACAATATAATACATCCCCACCAGTTTCTTCAACCGTTCCTGCAATATTTTCTATACCAACAGTTGCGAAGAAATCGTGTGTATGTCCAACGTCACTTTTCTTGTTTAAGGTTTCTTGTAAGTTTGTAATATTTGCAATGGTATGTGTATGAGTCTTTTTAGAATATTCTTTGTCAGCTCTTGTCACTTCACTTGACATTTTATTGTCAACATATGTTTTATCCGCTTTGTCATCTAACATTGCTGGTAGTTCATCTACGTCATAGATGTTATGTGTATGGTGTTTTTGTGGGTATGTTCTATCTGTCCATGCGAGAATATAGTCTCTTGTTGCATCTACATACTCTTTGTCAGCTTTGTTGTCAATATCTGCCTTCAAAAGAAGTTCATCTATAGGTTTCTCGTTTAAAGTTCTTTTTGTTGGATTTATACAAACAGTATGGTTCTTACTGTCTTGAAACAGAAACTCGTCTGTCAATGGGTTTATCGTCAGTTTTAAGTTTCCTTCTTTCAATGACTCAGATATCTTAGAATAGTTTGAAAAGTTTGTTGTGTTCTTATTTAGAGCTTGCACAATGAGTTGTCGGTTGTGTTGTATTTCTCTCATAGACGCTGTTTCTTTCGACATTTTTATTCTAGATAAAATATGCTTTCAATAGAAAAAGAAAATTCAAGAGTTGCTACAACTAAACCATTAGATGAACTTTTTACGAATGTCGGTCAAAAGTTTGAGACAGAGACCGTAAAGCATGAAGGCTATCGTTTTGACTACCCATTAAGATGGTTAAGAGACCCATCCGTCACAAAAGCTATTGGCTTTCGTAGAATGAAATTCATTTCAGAAGCCATACATGGTTTCCCATTTACGGTCGCTTTTGAAATTCGATACTATAACAAAGAAAAACATACGTATGAGAAATTTGAACAGGGAAAACTTTTACAAGTGAATTTGCTTGTAAACTTAGAAACAACTCTTCAAGCTTTTCAAGAAAAAATAAACGATATCTATCTCGAATATGCAAACCAGTATAACATTGACGAAGGAGAATACCATCTCGATATTATTTATGACAGGAAAAATGCAACTGTTAAAATCAATAAAATAGAAGACCTTGGAGAAAACGTTTATATTTCTACAAAATATAACAACTTGGCATGGCATAGATTTTTGAGGATGTTAAATCAGCCTGCATGGTATCCAGTACACCCGGACTATTATGAAGTCGAAAACCCTAATGGAACATATGAAAATGTTTTCGACTCAGATGCTATTATAGTTCATGCTTCATTTTCTGGTGCACAAAACTCTTTTTATGCTTGGCAAATGACTTTTACGAAAAACCTACAAAGCTATATGAACCACCGAGTGGAAGTATTTCGGATTTTCAAGTATGGTTTACTACAGATGGAAGAAAGAGAATAATTCCATTATACCATGCGTTTTACTTAGAACTTAGTTTCATATACAACTACTATCGAACGGTAAAAATATAATTTTTTAATACGGTTGAGGTGTTGGATTTGGTTGCCAACTAGACTGTGGTGCAGGTTCAGGCTGTTGTATAACAGGAGCTTGCTCTTCTGGTTCAGGGTCTTTAGGTATAATACCAACAAACTGACCTACTCTTTTACCAATATTTTTGACTCCGTTCCAAATTCCTCTTCCTACGGTTTTTATTCCATCCATATACCTCTTCCAACATTTCGAAAGAAGTTTCCTATTCTTCCAAAGAAACCCATTTTACTATATGTAAAAATCTAATGTCCGCCTAGTCTCTTACGTTTCCTGTTGAGTTCCATTGCATTCTTTAACTGGAGCTCATACATTCTATTTCTCCTCTGGTAGAAAACATATTCTGGGTCAACTCCTGTGTTCGCGTCATCTGCATAGAGTTGTTTATATCCCACTTCAGGGTTTGTATAAAACTCTTTCCATCTCATATTTGCATACCATGGTGGTAAGCCTAACGCAGCGTCATTTGACATGGCAGTTTGCATTTGTACATCTGTTGGCACTTGACCATAGTTTGCCATTGCAGTTTGTATTCTAACTTCATTTGGAATATTCTCTGGGTTTGGTTGTCCAGGTTGCTGTGCATTCGCTAAGTTCTGTGCGTCCATTTAATATTAGATAAAAAATCTCTTACGAGTACATATGCTGAACATTTGCTGGTATTGGTTCATCTTCATATTCTCTGTACTTTTCTGCCACGTCAAATAAATAAATGACACAATGGAAAAAACCTAAAACAAGTAGTCCTATTTCAAACCACATTTACTTACCAATAAAATTTCTTTATTGTGACACTTTCTCCGGTTTATAGGACCTCTCTCATATTCTATCTTGTCATATCTAAACTCATAGTCATGTATGTCCTCTAACCATCTCATAACGGTTTCCAAACCACTTTTATCGGATGTAAAGTAAAAGCATGGATGGTTATGTATAACGTCTAAAGTTTCTAAAGAGTCTCTCAAAGTCCAGTCTACTTGGTATTGAAAATCCCATGTGTTATAGAACGGCGGGTCCACTATAAAGAAAACATTTTCCTTGTCTTTATATTTTTCATACAAATCTGTCCAATGACATCTCACAAACTCTATACCCTCAATATATTTTTCTATGTCCTCTTTGAAAACATTTGTATAGTTGAGATATAAAACTTTTGACATAAGTGTTTCAATGTCATGAACTCTTATAGCACCACTATATAATAGTCTAGCAGATATACTATTCCAGTCTATATTCTGCTTTTTTCAAAACCTCTCTCACAATATTTTTCTTATCTAATGGTATACGTTCCATCTTACCTATAGGTATCTTTTCTTTTAACTCTTTCAATATTTTGTTTGTGTCTGGAATATGTTTGAGACGGTCCATATAGTTGTCGAAGTCATTGCATATAATCTTTGAGTCTGGAAATATTATATGGCACAAATGGGATATATAGAAACTTCCACCGAACAAATCTACAAATGTTAGACCATTCGGTAGTTTCTTAAGTTCTCTCAATATAATATCTTTACATTTACTCTTATTTCCAAAGAACGGTAACGGTGGTTTTGTAAAATTCATTTATATATAATAATAAAAATGTTTTTACCTGAAAAGTGACAGAAAAGTGACAAAACATGAAAACATATATAATTTGTGAAAAGCTCCTGGAAGCCCTCCGAATAAAAACTTCATTTATACTAAACATCTTCAGGGCTAGAGGGCACGAAGTGCCTGGAAGCCCCACTACCTTTTTTTTTTTTTTTTTTTTTTTTTTTTTTTTTTTGCTTTCTTTATTATTTTAAATTTGCATATTTCCATCAAAAGTTCATAAGGTAAAAAATTTCGTTTATTTTTACTAAGAAAAAAAAGGTTTTTGATAATAAATTTATTTTATTTCGAAAAAGTAGCAATAATCGTAAAAGGGTATTGATAGGCTTGCTAAAGTAACTAATTTTAGCTGTCAAATACTTTTGTATTTTGAAGTAAATTAGTATAAATTTGTTTTTACTTTTATTTCGAAAAAGTAACAATAATCGTAAAAGGGTATTGATAGGCTTGCTAAAGTAACTAATTTTAGCTGTCAAATACTTTTGTATTTTGAAGTAAATTAGTATAAATTTGATATTATTTTAACTCCCTTTGAAAACCTCAATTTTCCATACAGATGGAACGGGAATAGCATCCAATATTCCCTGAGAATGGTTACGCATTCTCAGTTCCCTCTATATTTCGAACGAAGCTCTCATCGGTCTTTTTTTTAATACTAAACGTTTTTTTCCCTGTCACTTTTAGCTAAAATTTGGGTTTGCCCAATCTTTTCATTGTATTTACTCATGTATTCATCGAAATCATCTGGTTTTATCATTGGAAACTTTGTATACACATTAATAAAGAATGGATATGTAATGGAGTAGTCACTTATCTTCTTATTACTGAAATTCGATGTGATCTGTGTGAAAAGTCTTTCCTGAATCTCTTGTTTCATAGTCTTATAGGCCTTATCTATCAAAACCGATACAATCTCTCGTGCAACTTGAATGTTTCCATCAGGATTCATGATGATTTCAAGGTAATTTCTCGGCAAAAAGTTATAAAAATTCTTAACCAACAAAGATTTGCCGTATGGATGGCAGGAATCGTGGAATTGGTATACGAGCTTCTTAACATCACGATCCCTGCGCATTTTGCTTAATTGTTCGGAAATCATTTCGAAAATTATTTTTGAATCAAAAACAGAAGTATCAGGAGATATGGCGTAAATAAACAATGAATAGAAATGTCTTTCAAATAAGTCTTCGAGTTTGAACTTGAGGTTCTCTCTCTTTAGATATAGTTGGTAAATCAAAAACAAATAGTCGGGATTAACGCGCTGATTGGTAAAAAGAATCTTTTCAAACTGGGCATCCGTAAGGATGAACGAACTAATTCCTGAAACGAGGAAATCAAAAAGAAAAACAAAAGAAGTCGGATTAAAATTATCTACTAAGCAATTAAACATATCTTGTGAGTACTTCATAAATACTTTGTCTTTCATGTCAGATGACCTTAAATAACTGAAAAATTTGTTAAAATACGTTTGAGCTGTCCTTAACTTGAAAACTGTGCATTGTGTAGGGTAGAACGTAACTTTTCTGATCAATGAGTAAAAATATTCTCCAACCTCGTTGCTGTCCAAAATAATATCAAAAATTTTGTTTTTCGCGTACCGTAATAAATCAGCAAAGTCTGTTGAAATGGAATTATTTTCATCAAATATGAGATTCATAATCATGTTGAGGATTCTTGGCGATGAAAAGAAGTCCGATAAATTCTGATTGATTTGTTCTTTTTTGTAAAGCTGTATCTTAAGATCGTGCGAGCCAATCACAGTTCGGAGACTCTGTTCATCGATATCAAAGTCACCTTCTAATATACGACTTAGTGTTGACTTTGATATCATATGAAAAGTGATCTAGTCAAGAAAAGAGGAGAAAAAAAATATTTATTCTGAAGTTTTTGATTTTTCCAAAGAAATACAAATTAGATTCTCAAACATAGGATTATTTTTGATTCAAATGCTGATCGGTATTAAATTTTGAATAGTTTACATCTAAAATTTCGAAGCCGCCTTTGACGAAAATGTTAAATTTATCAAAAATTCGAGCTCATCTAGGCTGTTGTTAGTTTTTTTAATAATGACATCTATCAAAAAGTGAATGAGCAATTAAATTTTTGGAAAATTTTGCCACCAATTAATTTTTTTAAACAGAAAATGCAAGCGAATTGAATGTAACTACCAATATATATCTGGTTTATTCAATTCCTAAATTTGAATTCACGAAAAAAAAATTCCTAAATTTGCTTTTTCTGAGGAATGACTATAGACAAAAAAATCTGTTACTTCACTTAATATGAAGTACTAATTTACTTTCTCATATAGAATATATTAATGCTTGTGTTTTGAGTTTTAGTATCAAATTGAGTTGAAAAAAACAAAATAAAATATTGAATTTTTCGAACTCATTTATCTAACATTAATTATAAGAAAAATATGAGCATATTTACCAGAAAGTAAATTTCTATAATAATTAATTCATATTAAAGTGAATTTTTATTAGATTGAATTGAAAAAATAAATTAGGAAAGAAGTTCTGAATGAATCCGGAACTCATTATGATCCTATCAGAAAAACAATAGATATATTCAAATGCTGTTCGGCATTAAAAGCAAAAATAATCATATACCTGAGAATTACACTTTTCCGACATTTTCGGGTCGCTTCACGCCCCTGACAAAACATCGGGAAAGTGTAAATTTTCTCAATACCTTTCTAACGGCTTTGTTATTCTATTGCAAAACTGAAAAGATGAAGTAAAAAAGTTTCACGCAATTTGAATGAATCAGTTCACCAAACGGCAAAATTTTCGATTGAAGTGAAATAACATATTTTTGTGCCCATAATATAAGCAAAAGAAAGACCGATCAAAATTGTTATCTCATACTTGGCTTTCAACTGTGTCAATTTTTCTACGATACTGATGTTGTAAAAAAAAACAGGGAGAGAAAAAAAAATTTCGGATGGCGAACGGATCTCGATTCGATGCATTGCTGAATCAAGTTCAAAGTAAACTTGACCAGCTAGAAAATGCGAAAGAAGAATTCGAATCGTATGATCTAGAGCAAAAAAAGAATACTGTTTCAAGAGGACTTCGAGAATTAAATCAATGTCAAAATAATATTATGGAAATGGATCGTCTTGTTCAAACAATGCCAATGAGAGATAGAGAATTCTTTGTTCAAGATATTGCAACGTGTAAAAGTTCCCATAAAAATCTGTTAGTTGCGTATAACAAACTTGATGAAGAAGTTAAGCGTCTTATATTAATTGATGAAGCTCAGAGAAATTCTGGAGTTGATCAAGACTCTTTAAATCGTACTGCAGCAAAACTTGATAACGCAAACCAAAATCTTTCAGAAGCTATCTCTCTTGGAGGTAAGGTTATCGCAGGGCAAGAAAAAGCAATGAACACACTAGCTGAAGATCGTCAAGCACTTGTTCGAATTGATAAAAACGTTGATAACATCATGGATGAAACGAGTAAAGCTAACAAGCTGGCAAATTCAATGTGTGGTCGTGCTTGTTTGAATGGTAGTTTAGCATGGATCATCGCTTTACTTCTTGGATTGGTATTTGCCGCTTTATTAATTTTGAGGATCCGCAAGATCGGACCTTTCAAGAAAAAGGCCTAATTTACTATCTTATTTTTAGTTTTGTTCGGATATTTCGTTTTATATATTTTATTTGTTTAATAAAATTCACTATTATTGTTAACTTAAGTAAGTGTTTTGAGCTCGAAACGCAGTACCAGAATAATTTTTCATTATTATTATAACTATTATGGAAATATTATTCATATTTTTACTTCTAAGCAATATCAATGCCTGAATTCTTGGTATTCAAATACACATATGTAGGGCAAGCTAATCTCATCTTATAGTAAAATAACATAAAACGAATTTTCTATTTTGAAAAGTAAATTTCCCAGATTTTTTTGATTATTTTTATTGAAAATTTTTATATGATTTTTTTTTGGAATGAAAAAATGAATTTAAAGAGGTATCAATACGATAGTTGCATATAGTTATTCATATAATAATTGCATAATTAGGAATATTATCAAATTATTGATTATGAATAGAAATTTTATATCTAATCTAGATTTCATGCCATATTTTTCTAATTTGCACTATATGATATTGAATTTCCAGTTATGGACTGCCGAATACGAGAATACAAAGCACATTTTCGCCCCAATCTACAATTTATCACTCAAAATTAATTTAATAAAGTATTTACATAGATTTGACTCTATTATGAAAGATGATCATAAGAAAAACAATTAAATAAGAGGTTTTAAGACTATAAAGCATTACTTTAATAAAGTATATAAAACAATATTATTTAGTTCTTTGATAGATTGTAGTATAAGCAGTTTTGTATATTTGCTTCCATTTAGCGCTATTTGGCTGAGGTTTGAAAGTCACTTCGTCAAATTCTTTTCTAACTATTACGTAAGAAACATTTAATCTGTCTATTGCATACGTGTTTTCAGGGTTTCTCTCTAAGTGACTAATAATTGCCATTCTTTCCTGGTCGGGAAGATTATGAGATGCTAACCAGCCTCTGTAACCCAAAAAAACTTGTCTTCCTGCAAGACATACAACAGGGTTCCTGTGGTCTGAATCAGAAATCCAAATAGAGTCGTAAGGCGTGTTCTTTATGATAAATCTTGCAACTGTGTACTCTTCAAGGCCTCTACCAGGCCATAGCTTATGGGAATACTGGAAGCATAAGATAACTGATATTAATCCACTGGCAATGCAGAAAATAAAAAGAACGATAGAAATAATTTTTCCGAAATTCTTATATCGGAAAAGTGACACCATATAATATGCAATTCCAGCACAAGCCAAAGGTATATAGGCAGCATTAAAGACTTTTGTGTTATCTAAAGCCCATGGCTGATAAACAAGATAGTTGCTGAGTAAAAATACGAAAAGAGATGGTATATAATAAGATAATTTTTCTGAATCTAAAGATATTGGAACATGAACAACACTCAGTACAAAGAAAGCTCCTAATGCATACCACCATAACTTTAATTGGCTTGCTTGCCCAATTTCTTGTCCAATTGGCATCAATTTCATGAAATTATTCGATTCTACGCGTTTGAAATAAGGAAGGAACTGAGGAACTCCGACACTTATAGCAATAATACCAAGAACGAAATAGCATCCAACCAATTTGCATACTTTTGACTTTTTTACGCGAATTAGTTGAATTAATCCAAAACATGAGCCCCATTCCATTAAAGCAATGATGGAATGCGGATGAACTTGCGGTAGAATACCAACTATGAGCGCTACTGCTATGAATTGTGAGTAATTCTGGTTGTTTAAGGTACTCATCAAAATTGAAATCGCTCCCCAAGCGAGAGGGATCGAAAACAGGGAAGCGCGTTGTGGTAAAAGAATGTGAACAATCGTCTGGAACCAAAATTCTTCTCTGCCCTTTCCCCAGTAATGAACAAAATCAATATTCCATTCTTTTCTGATTTCTCTGTAGAAATATTGAGTGAAACCTAAACCGCCTGTAAATATGAATAAGTATGGTGCGACGCAACAAGCTGCTTCACTCTTTGAAAGTCGAAATGTGATATTTGAAAGAATAATGAAAATAGAAAATATGTAAATGATAGAAGGAATCGCAGCGCTGTCATGTATTGTTGCGTCGTAGCATGATATCAAGACAGCTGAATAAAAGTTTGGAATAAAAGGATAAGCTAAATTTTCGTGTGCATAAAATGGAGACAATATGTCAAGTAGATTCTTTCTGTGTTTGTTGCATCCGTATACAAATGAGGTGATAAGATTCATATGGAAGGGGAAATCGCCATAAGCAGCTCCCATCGTTTCATTTCCTTTGTATAAGAGACCATACCATATAAGATATCCAATAATAACTGATGGTATTAATGTTCCTATTATGTATACAATAAGTTTGAATGGTTTTGGACTGATAATTTTTCTATTCTTTCGTAAACAGTAGATAATTATTGAAATAGTAAATAATATTGCATTGTGAACTAATCCATGTAGAAAATCTAATGGAATATTCATTGAAGCAATGAAAAATATCCAGGCAGATAAATGAATTCCGAAAGTTGAACCAATTGCTACTCTAGTGACAACATCAAAGTATTTCTGAAGAAATAATGACATTATTTCGAATCCGAAATATGATGCTGAAGCAACTGATAACCAAATTAATAAGAAACTTAACATAAAAATAACTTATGAATGTATCCATTTGACTTAGTTTAGAACTCAGAAATCATTTGCTTAAATATTGATTTCATTTTATTGAATTTATATTCAAATGATTTTATTTGATTCGTATTTGGTTAATATCAGCGAAGATCAGTTAATACTAACTAATCACACATAAAATATGTAATAAAATCAGAAATTTAATGAATTTTGTAAAAAATTATTCTTCAATTAACTATTTTTGGCCTAAAATTTGTGATAATCAGAATTTCCATTAAATATTATTTATAATTACACTAATAACGAATATGAATCTATTTAAAATACCCATGAGATTTTGTCACTTTTTATTGGGGTATGAAGCGTAGTTTTACTCAGCGTTTCCCAAATATTACTGCAACAGAATTCATACAAACAAGACTTAGAAATGCAGATTTTGAAAAACAAATACACACAGAAGGAAATGGAGCCCTTCTTGAGTGGCTTCCAACAAAATTTTCGTGTCTAGTTAGATTTAGAATAAATGTTGGATGGTCGGATCCAGTTCAACGAATGCTCGGTAGTGATGAAGTGGTAGTTAATGAAACGAGAAATTTTACAACTGAAAATTTCAAACAGATTATTAGCTCTAATATCAAAACAAATCTTCCATACCTTTCCGCACAGATATCGAGAACGATTGAAGATTGCAAAGATGGCTGCATCGAAACTCTTACTCTCGAAATTAAATATAATGGCGGAACATTTCGAGATCAAATCGCAAATGACTTCTTCAAAGCCATAGCGAAACACATCTTCCCTCTTAATAACAGCGAGATTGTTGTCCATAACATAGATCCAAGGCCAGTTGCTGGATTATTTGTTCCTCCTCGCCATGCATCACAATATTTAGCCATTCATTCCCAGTTGCAAGGACTCAGAGAAGCATCAGAAGAATACTTAGTAACCATAGATAAAGCAAAAATCGACAGAAAACCGTTACAAATACCAAATACAAATCAATTGAACCAGGTTTGCACATTACTCGAACCAGATAGGTTTTCTATCCAGAAGGAAATCGATGAAATGAAAGTTGAAGCTCAAAGATCTGATCGCATCGTCCAAGAAATCAAAAAGACGCGAGAGCAAGTTAAGCCAGGTAATTCTCTACCAATGTTCCTTATTGCGACATGCGCTGCTGTTATTTTTTACGTTGCTTCAAATACTTGATTTTTATCAACCTCAGAGAACTGCTAAATCATATGTTTGTAAGATTGGAATTATGCTCCAATCCATAGAGGTGAATTTTATTTTGTTTTCTTTATATTGAATTTTGTTTTATGTTAAAATATTTGATATTTCATAGTTCTATCATCAGAAAATATTTCAAAAGTCAAAAATTTTAATGTTGGAAGGCACGAACATTGACATTCATGTGTTTACATACATTAAATGTAAAACAAGTGGTTGTGAAAGACTTGAATATAAGTTACAACTTTTGAAGGAATATTAGTCAATTTTTTTTTGACTAGTCAAAAATTTTAATGCTTTCAAAAGTTCCTGAAGATCCCCTTACTAAAGCATGCAAAGAAGGAAATCTCGAACATATTAAATCTCTTATAGAAAATGGTAACTATAAAGTAGAATCTTTAGGTTTACCACTCATTAAAGCAGCAAAAAATGGTCATCTTGAAGTTGTTAATTATCTTATCTCTGTTGGAGCTGATAAAGAAGCAAAGGATAAAAACGGATATAATCCACTCATTCTTGCATCAAGTAATGGTAAATTTGAAGTTGTTGAATATCTTATCTCAGTTGGAGCTAATAAAGAAGCAAAGGATAAAAACGGATATAATCCACTCATTCTTGCGTCATATCATGGTCATCTTGAAGTTGTTAATTATCTTATCTCTGTTGGAGCTGATAAAGAAGCAAAGGATAATCATGGATCTACTCCACTCATTTCTGCATCATCTCATGGTAATCTTGAAGTTGTTGAATATTTTATCTCTGTTGGAGCTGATAAAGAAGCAAAGGATAATAATGGATGGACTCCACTCATTTGGGCATCAGATAATGGTAATCTTGAAGTTGTTAAATATCTTATCTCTGTTGGAGCTGATAAAGAAGCAAAGGATAATCATGGATCTACTCCACTCATTTCTGCATCATCTCATGGTAATCTTGAAGTTGTTGAATATTTTATCTCTGTTGGAGCTGATAAAGAAGCAAAGGATAATAATGGATGGACTCCACTCATTTGGGCATCAGATAATGGTAATCTTGAAGTTGTTAAATATCTTATCTCTGTTGGAGCTGATAAAGAAGCAAAGGATAATAATGGATGGACTCCACTCATTTGGGCATCAGATAATGGTAATCTTGAAGTTGTTAAATATCTTATCTCTGTTGGAGCTGATAAAGAAGCAAAGGATAATGATGGATGGACTCCACTCTTTTGTGCATCAAGAAATGGTCATCTTGAAGTTGTTAAATGTCTTATCTCTGTTGGAGCTGATAAAGAAGCAAAGGATCATTTTGGATCTACTCCACTCATTTTTGCATCAAGACATGGTCATCTTGAATTTGTTAAATATCTTATCTCTGTTGGAGCTGATAAAGAAGCAAAGGATAAAGATGGATGTACTCCACTCATTTATGCATCAGAAAATGATCATCTTGAAGTTGTTAAATATCTTATCTCTGTTGGAGCTGATAAAGAAGCAAAGGTTAATAATGGATCTACTCCACTCATTTATGCATCAGATAATGGTCATCTTGAAGTTGTTAAATATCTTATCTCTGTTGGAGCTGATAAAGAAGCAAAGGATAAAGATGGATCTACTCCACTCATTTTTGCATCAAGAGAAGGTCATCTTGAAGTTGTTAAATATCTTATCTCTGTTGGAGCTGATAAAGAAGCAAAGAATAATAATGGAAAGACTGCTCTTGATGTTGCAAAAAGTTCTGTGAAAAAATACTTTTTGGAAGACAAAACAGAATAGAGAATAATTATAGGCAATGATAAAATATTCAAAAATAATATCTATTGAAGTTCAATTATTTGTCTTAAAAATAAACACTATCCATTTGAGATTTGTGCTAAACATACCTTTTGTTCCCATGAATTCGGGCACTTTTTTCTGGATAAAAGAGTCAAATGATTGATTTTCACGATCGAAACTTGTAATTTTATTACAATCTTAATATATTAATGCGTGAAATTCTGAAACTTTTAAAAATATATTAATCAATATTCAGAGCTAAAGGAGTGATGTAATATATATAATAGATATCTCAAATTCGATAAAACAATTATGATAATAAAAAAAATTCAAGAAGAAGTAAATGAGATTAGTTAATATTTACTTGTATAACCCATTTCGAACATGTAAGAAATGTTTGTCCAAAATCATCAAAAAATAATATAAGTAAACGTTTGTTGCTGATTTTGGACCAACTGTATGACATATTTAAAAGATTTCCTTGAATTTATGAGAAAGCTTGACCATTTGGTTCCATGCTTCTGGATCAATCTTTGAAGTAATTGGAATAGCAGAACTCTCTTCAATATCAAGATTCTCCTGAACACGGCCTGTAACTTCGATCCATTCTGCACTAAAGCGCTTATCGTTTAATGATGGGTTCTTATGTACACGGACGCTTTTTGAATCCGTTGTAGAAATAATATATGGATCTGAGCTCTTGTCAACTATCCTGCCAACTATTGTAACCATCTTTGATTTGTGTTGGCCTAAATATTCACTGTTAACGCGAAAACTATGATCTGTTTCCATTTATTTTTTTTGAAAATTTTTTTCTCTTCCAAAATGAGGGAAGTTCCCTTTTTTGGTAACGCACGAAAAAAGTGACAGTATTCGATGAATATCTTTATTTTCTTGATGTATATAGTGAGCAGACGATCTAATAGACTTTCCTATGTAATTTTTGCAAGAATATTTATATAATTTAGTTCATTTTTTCGAACATTAATAATGATAACAGGAATGGTTGAAGATGGTACCATTTTTTGGGCTATTATTACTACCCATTACCAAAATGGAACATTTTGCATAATCATTTTCAATGATGAGATATTTAGCAAAATAAGACAATGTTGACTGTATTTTACATATTGCTTTTGCTTAAGAGATACTAATCATTGAATTATTCTAATTAGATTTTTTTTAAATGGAATTCTTTTTATCAACCAAGATACCTCGAGGTCTTAAATACGTTGCTGAGCTTCAAATGATGCTAGATAACTTATCTCAAGATACAGTTAATGATATAACAGTATATATATTGAAATCAGATCTTGTTTCTTCTCCAGATAAAGTTAGAACTCTTGCACATGAACTACTAACATACAATGTCATATATACGAAACAAAAACAGGAATTAATCATATTAATTATGACTTTATTACAAAATCAAATTCCATCGAATGAATTACATCGATTAAAAATGGCAATACTCGAAGAATGCTGTCTTTCAGATTCCAATCTTGATAATGAAATCTCAAAAATCTTATTACTTCGAAAATTATTTTTAGCAGGAATGATAAATTACAAAGAAATGGAGACAATATTAGAGTTGGTAGCACGTACAACAGGTAATTCCCCAGAAAAATTCTTTGTTTTCTTCCTTTCTATCGCTCCAGAAATGCATCAAAGACATCTTTCATTATACAATGATATGGTCCAAGTTCTTACCAACAAAACACAATTTTCGCAGCATTTAAAGCTAATTACCAAAAATTTAGCCCAATACGAAGAAGAAAATTTCAAAAAATTACGTGAATTAATGTTATACGGCCAAGAACCGAATTCTCTACAGTACATAATTTACAATGATGACGTAGAATCATTGAAAGGATATATTTCAAAGAATCCAAAACTAGAAACATTGTTTTGGATATCTCCATTAGATTATTCAGAAAATCCTGACATAAACATGATATCAATGGCTGCATTGTATGGATCTTATAATTGTTTCATGCTTCTTGCTGAAAAATGCTTAGATATCCTTAAACTAGAAGCAGTTTTATGGGGAGAAAATTTGAAAATTTTAGAATATGTTTTATACAAGAAAAATCACGAATTTTTCCATGATTCTTTGCGAAACATTGGTAGATTTAGATGTCTTAAATCAATAGTTTATTTATTAAAGAACAATCAATACACTGAACTAGAGTTGAACAAAGCTTTTGTCAGTGCCGTTTATTATCAAAATTATCATTTGATTTTTAAATTAATTGAACTTGGTGCAGACATAAATTACAGGAATCCAGAGACAGGAATGACTGCTTTCGCTATTGCATGCAAGGAAAGTCATTTTTCTTTGTTAAACACTCTGATAATAAGGAAAACTGTTGATGTAAATACAAAAGATTTAAATGGTGAAACACCTTTAATAAAAAGTGTAAAAAATTGTAATTCAAGAGTCACAAAAATACTTTTAGAATGCGATAGAGTTGATTTAAACGCTAAAGATGATAATGGATATACAGCTTTGTTATATGCATGCAGAAATGCCAGTTTATATGATGTTAAATTACTTATGTCGAAAGGTGAAAAAATTAATCCAAATCTCAAATCTAAAAAAGGAGATTTTCCTTTGAAATTCGCTGTTATTTCTGGAAATGAAGAGATTATTGATAAATTACTTGAACATCCAAATATAGATGTTAATAACAGAGATGATGAAGGCTGCACCGCGTTATTCCATGCTGCGAGATTATCAAAATCAAGTACAATTCTTCAAATCATGGAACAATCTGAAAAAGCTGATCCAAATTTAAGTGGATCAAATGGTTTTTCTCCATTAATTATCTCTGTTTTGTCTGGTAATGTTGATTGTGTAAAGACACTTCTTTCTTATGAAAGGACAGATGTAAATCACAAAGATGGAAATGGGAATACTGCCTTAATTGCTGCTTGTGGAATTAAAAATTATGAAATGGCGAAATTAATTTTAGCACAGAAAAACTTGAATATTAATGCAAGAGGGAAACTCGGAAATACTGCATTAATGACAGCAAGCATGAGAGGATGCAAGGATATTGTTGAATTGATCTGCAATTATCAAGGCGTTAATGTTAATTTGAGAAATGATAATGATAATACTCCTCTTCACGAAGCAATCAGATTTAAACATAAAGAAGTAGTGCTTTACTTGATGAAATTAAAGGATATTGCTTTAAACACACCTAATAAAAGCGGTGAAACACCAGTTGCTGTTGCTGCTTCATCTGGAGATGTTGAAATAATGGCGAACTTACTGACTTTAAGAGGTATTGATGCTAATTACACAAATGGAGTTAATCCAACACCATTGGCCATAGCCATTAAAGCAGGAAATATTAACTTAGTGAGAATGATGGTACTTTCACCTTATGTTGATGTGAATATGCCATCTCCTCCTGATTCATTTTCTCCAGCTTTTATCGCTGCTTCCGAAGGAAAAAGTCAAATTTTGGAGGCAATTTTAAGAAGCCCTGGAATTAGGAGTGACTTAAAACCTGGTAATGGAGCAAAGTTTTTATTCGATGCAGCTGAAGGTAACAAAGAAGTAATCGCTGTTCTAGAAAGAAATGGATTATCAAACTCATAAAGTTTTTGTTTGAAATAAAAATATATTTCTTGATTTAAGTATTTTGAGTTTGAATTTTCAACGAGTTACATTTTCATAGACCTCCCCATAAAAAGGTCGACCTTCAATTATAATTGTTCGGCCATTTACAGATTCATTTTTTTTTATAAAAAATTTCCAACATTTTTCTATAATGAGCCATGAACAAGGTCTAGATTTTATTCAAGAAGCATTATGTCAGTTATCCCAAAATATTAAAAAATGGGTCAAAAATCCAAATGGACCAAGCAACATTCATAATTTATTCCAATTACTCTCCAAAAATTTTCTTAATATTTTCGATCAATCCCAAGAGGAGTGCACTCAAGCTATATCACAAATCACCCAAACTTTAGCAAACCTTAAACAAGAAAATTCAAAAGTTCTAATTAGAGATATTCCAATTCAGAAAATTTCAGATTTTTTCCACAAATACGAGGCCAATCATAAAACTTACATCAATGAAATGAATGAAATCAAATTTATTCAAAATATTGTAAGTAAAAATGAAACGTTAGACAGGATTTTTTCTCGAATAATTTTGGCCATGGATAATCCTCCTAATCATCAAATTCAACGCCAATACATCTTAAATGTAGAAGGATGCTTACAGTTAAGTTCGACCTTTAATGAATTACAAAATATCTACTTCAATTTACCTTATATTTTCAAAGATGGATATCGTCGTTATCAGAAAGATGGATTCTACAATTTAGTTATTCATCAAAGTAAGTCGAAAGCAAAATCATGGCAGTCCATATTAAAACCTATATATCAATTAGTATTAAAAATTGATATAAAATCATATGAAAAATTAGGGAAAAATTACGTTCGAATTAAAAGAAAAATTAAAAAAATAATAGAGAATCTTTCCGATATTATCAATAAGCACACAAATAAAAACGCTGACACACACAAAGAGATAAATCCATTGATTGATAATCTGAAAAAATTAATAGATGCAATTGATGGCATTGGTATCAATTCAATAATTGAAAACAATTCTACATTGCATGAAAATATTGATAAAAACCAAAAAGAAATTGATGGATTAAAAAGTCAAAATAAAAAGAAGAAGAAGGAATTAAATCAAATGAAAGAACAACAATTAAACGAATTATTTGAAACAACAAAATGGATGAAAGAAAAACATAAAAATATAATAATCGATCTGTACAATTTTAGAGATCAACTTATTAATATCAAAGTTAGTACTATCCAAACATTAGCAGAAAATTTAAACAAAAGCATTGAATACCTTCAAGATTTCAATAACTCGACCACCAGTTTTATTAAGAGATTCGCAACTATTGTTTTTCTTTACTTAATTAACTCAGAAAGGAATAAAATGCAAGAAGCTATTGATGGTCTGAAATACACTTTAACATATTTATTTTCTAATACTGATGAATTAAACAATGTTATTTATTGCGCAATGAATGCATCAACGTTAATTTTATCTGCAGAAACAGCAAGAACAATTAAATCATACGCTTCTGCACTATTTTTCTTCTTTATACTAAGTGAGTGCCCTGATGATGCAAATATATATTATGATCTCACGGAATACGAATCACTGGCATTTATGAGAGATGGTGGAACTGGTTTATCAAAAATTTTATCCCCTATAATGATCAAAGAAGATTATGAAAAGATATATGAATCAAATATTCAGATAAAATAAAATTCAATATTTTTATCACTTTTTATTTTTTTAGTATGCGCAATAATTTAGTTTACACTTAAGATTCAGTGCTCTTATATTGAGGGTTTATTTCAGTATTAGTACTATCTTTGATTTCAAATTTTATTTTCTAAATTGTAGTTTTAAATTTTATATTGTGTGACAATTTAGTTTACAAGCCAATGGGTACCAACTATATGTTAGGTACTGGCGTTGCAGGAAATAATCATAATGCTGATCCAGATAACACTTGTGAAAATTTAATTATTAAATATGAAATTGGAAATATTCCTGTAACACATGTAGGTGTTAATGCATTTACGGCACATTCATGCTTAAGAACAGTTTATATCCCAAACACTATAGTTTATCTAGGCTTCGATTGTTTTGGTTATATTCCTACTTTGAAAACAGTTATTTTTGAAGAAAGATATAGCACTTCGCTCGAATTTGATCAAGGAGTGTTTTTTTCAAAATAATATGAAGATCATTAGACTTCCTAGTAAAATTTCATCATCAAAACTTCATGTTTTAGCCATGTCCAAAATAGAAAAAGTTATATATTGTGGGCTGGATAAAATTGATGCAGATTGGTTTGAAAAACTGTCTCCACCTATTATTTTTGTTCATTCTCTATATCCTTATAATAAATTTGCAAATGCTACAAATCTTGTTCATACACAGCAATGCGGCTTATACACGAAGTGTTTAGTGCATTCGATTATGTACGTTCCATTCCCATTTTTTAGTATTTTATCCTCTTTACTCGCAATCAACATTTGCTAACAAACTTATAAAGTCATTTGATTTTAATAAATTAGCTAAAAATATACTAAGCATCTAAGAGGAACATTAAATAATCTATAGTATTAACATTTATACTTTTTTTGCCAAAATAGTGCTTTACAATATTTTTTTAGTTTACAAGGCAAATTTCATCTTTTAAATAATTGAGAGGAAAACCGTTTGGCTCTTCCTTTTACACATGGGTCACATCGTTCGTGCTCAGCGTAGAGGTAACGGCTCTGTTTTCCAGGCCCATACCCACCACCGCGTTGGTCCAGCTAAATTCCGTGCTCTTGATGCTGCCGAGCGCACATCCGTCATCTCCGGCATGGTCAAGGAGATCATCCACGACCCAGGCCGTGGTGCTCCACTTGCCAAGCTTATCTACAAGAAGGCTGAAGGCCAGGGCTTCGATTCTGCCCTCGTCATCGCCCCAGAAGGCATCCACACAGGCCAATTCATCAAGTGCGGCGCCCAAGCTGACCTTCACATCGGCAACATCCTTCCACTTGCTCAGATCCCAGAAGGTACAGAAATCTGCAACGTCGAGCACCGTCCAGGTGATGGTGGCCGCTATGGCCGCTGCTCCGGCGATTCCTGCCGTGTTATTGGCCACACAGAAAACTACACACGTATCCAGCTCCCATCTGGTCGCAAGGCTCTTGTTTCCAACATCTGCCGTGCTACATTAGGTATCGTTGCTGGTGGTGGCCGTCCAGAAAAGCCACTCCTTAAGGCTGGTAACGTCCACTACAAGTATAAAGCTAAACGCCACACATGGCCAGTCGTTTGCGGTATCAAGATGAACCCAGTCGACCACAGACACGGTGGTGGTTCCCACCAGCACATGGGTGCTCCAGGCACAGTCGCCCGCTCTGCCCGCCCAGGTCAGAAGCTTGGTCTTATCGCTTCCCGCCGTACAGGTCGCCGCCGCGGTACAGTCAACCTTGCCTAAAGCATATGTTCTATTTGAACTGCTTTCAAAACATTACACTTTTTCCTTTTTACTTTTCTTTTATATTGTTCAAAGATTTATTAAAATTTTGGAAATTATTCTTCAAAATGTTTGATATTATATGGAATTTTACCTTCTTATCAATACTGTGATAACTTTTCTTATTGCAATTTTAGTCAAATTTTATTTTTGTTTAGGAGATGAGTTCATATAAGGATGAAGAGGATAGTGATTTTAGGCCAATAACAAGAGATTATTTAAAAGAACTAAAGGGTGAACCTCAAGAGCAATATGATGACTTTGATATTGCAGAATTTCGATCTTTCTTTGAATCATTAGATCAAAACGATCTAGAAGCCCGTATTGGTGTGTTAGAGCAAGTATTCAACTATTTGAACAATTTTATTATCAAAGCATATAAAATTCAAAAATTTGATTCAATATTATTGATATATGATGAGTTGGATAGCTTTCAATTAATGGACTTTCTATTTAATAGCCTTTCAATTGCTAATAGGCCAATTATTATTGAATTAACGTTGAAAATCATTGCCTTGCTATTTTGCGCTGAATCTGATGATGAAATCATATTATTATCAAGAATGAATCACGATATATTCCAAATGATCATAGATATTGCAAAATCACCAAATGTAGTTTCAGAAGTTCAAATTCCTCCATTGCAGTTTGTTTCTATTCGAAAATTTGCTTTAAATTGCATATTAAACATTACAATGACTTATTCAGAATATATTAATGACATCGAACAACAATTTGACGATTTCATTCAAATAATTTTAAATGACGAAAGACCAGAGTGCGCTGAGGATCTCATATCAACATGCGCTTCAATATTAAGTGTTAATCATGATGCATGCAATATTGAAAAACAATTTAATTTCTTTAAAGCCAATATTGTTATTGAAGATAAGCCTATACATAGTTCTTTTTATGGTTGCATTCAATGTCTCGAATATGCAGATCAATCACAAAAAACACTTTTTTCAAATGAATTTATTACAGATTCATTTATTATTATGGCATTAAACAACATTCATCCAGCACAATCAAAAATATTTATTGATGTTTTATGTTTACTTAAGATTATATTGGAATATTGTGATATAAATTTGCAGAATGATTTAGTTTCAATTATTCCATGGGATAATATAATAAGTCAAGAGTTATTAGAACATTCTGAATATGCATCAGAGATTCTTGAGCATTTAAACAGCATTTGCAAAGTCGTTAGTAACTATATCAGTTCTTTGATGAACAACAACTGCTTTTCAAACATATTTACTTTATTTTTTAACGGGCAGTATGAAATTAAAAAGGGATCATTCTTTGTCATTTGCACAATCTTTGATTATTGTGATGTTGAGCAAAAAATCGAAGTTTTCACAAAAACTCCTTTCTTAGAGATTCTTGCAAATATGGTTGATGAGGATGATCATAAATTCCTTGGAGAAGTTCTCGTATTTGTAATAGATCAAATGCAAGAAATTGATGACCAAGAAGCAGCAGCGGCATTTAATGAAAATTTCATAAATGATGAATTTATGGAATCTGCATCATCTCTTTTAGATGATGAAGATGAAGATATTAGAATTATTGCAGAACATTTCTTTAGGTTATGCTCAGGTGAGGAAGAGGAAGGGCTAATGTTCTAATAAATATATTGTTTATATTTCTGTTATATAATAAATAGATTGTTTATAGATAATTTATATTTGCTTCATAATTTTATAAATTTGACATGTCACAATGAAACTTACACGTAAGTATTCACAATACATATATACAGACGAACTGAATATGAGAATTGATTGATTCATTGTTGATTTTATCAAAAAATCAACGATTTGTTACTATGCCAATGAAGTATTATACAAGAACAAAAGAAAATACGTATATCATTAGCTTTCAATGCGACTTTAGTACCAACGGTTGTAAACTATTCAAAATTTTGCAATAGGGAAAAATGGAAGATTTCAAAATTTGCTTTTAATCAGGTCAATTTCTCTAGTTATAGAAGTAAAACTATACCCAAATCCATCTACATACTTATATAATTATATGCTACTATATTGACATTTATATCTAAAAGATGTATCTATAGTTTTCTGAAACTATTGTCACATCATTGTTTTTTTTATAGAGTTTACAAATTTGTAAAGTGACTTTATAAAAAAATGTTAAAAGCTCTGAAGAAGGCAACAGGCATTGTTAAAGACGTCGCTGCTACAGTAGGAATTCCAGTTACAGAAAAGACAATTGATGCTGACTATACTCAAGCAAAAGAAGCATTCAAAACAATTTGCCTTGATACCGTCCAAATTATTGGATGTATTATTCAAATGAGCAATCAAATGCAAGTCCTTTCACGTTCAGTTACTAAAATCGGAGCTGATTTAGGAATTTCTTTCATTACTGCTTCACAAAATTCAAAAGGAGAGGCAAAAGCAATAGAAATGTTCGGAAAGCAATTAGAATCAATTGTAAGTAACCAATTTGCTAGACTCATTGATCAAAATGTTGTTGCTCCTTTATCAGTTTATCAAAAAGAAACTGATCGACTAAAAGATATTCAAAAGCAGAGAAAACCACTACGCAAGGAATACGATCAAGCTCGCTCGAAGCTGAAATGGCTTCAGGATCATAATGGAAAAGTTGGAGAAATAGAAGCCCAAAATCAAAAAACACAAGAAGCGTATAACAAATACTCAGTCCTTAATAACGACTTTATCCAAGGTGTTAATCGCCTCGTAATGCAAAGAGCCCAATACTTAGAAACTCCATTCCGTAATTTTGTTGGCATCTTTAGTAAATTTATGTGCTCCGTTACTAACGAAATGGAGAGAGTAAAAACTAGCTTCCCACCATCGACATACAACAAATACGCCCAATTCACACTAGCAAATCCTTACTCCCAAGCCCAGCCACAACAAGCATTTTACGCTCCACCACCAGAACCAGTCGCTTACCCAACAATCGATGAAATACCAGTTCCAACACCTGTTGAGGAAGTCGAAGAACCACAAAGGGCCAAGCCAAAGAAGGAAAGAGTGGCTGCACTTGCTTAATAACATAATTTTATTATTTCTCATGAAAATAAACATAATTTTATGATCGTTTTCAAAAATTATAATTTTATTTTGTGGTTTTCATAAAATCATACTGAATATGTCTGAATTTCCATAATTTAATTATGTACTGTTTAATTTTTCAAGCCTCACAATGATACAGTTGAATCAATGATATGTTCTTTAAGAAATAAACATAAATTTGCTTTTTTGCTTCCAAATTGTATAGATTTTGCCTTTTTTATTGAAATTTTAAGGGTGCACTTACGCTCCTATGACAGGGCCTTTAATTCATATGTTTAAGGTTAAATTTCAATGGCGCTTCACGCCAGTTGTCAAAAATTTGAATTAAAGTCAGATGGGCGTAAGTGCAGCCTTTAAAAAATTGAACAAATCTGCTTGTATCTACTAAACTCGTCTGAAAACATATATATTTAAAGTTTTTCACGTATTTTAGAATATGTTTATTTGAAATACACTCAATTTATGATAGATTGTGGTCTTATTCCAATACAAGGGAGTGCGGGATAAATTTGCCACATGTCACTTTTCAACAACCTTAAATGGCAAATTTGTCCTGTTCCCAGTTTGGAAACTGTTTCAACAATTTAAATCAGAATTGCTTATATAAAAAATTAGTAATTTTATATTAATATGTTTATTTCAATATAAAATTATTACAAACATAAGATATGTATGACATTTAAATCTGGTCATTATCATCGCCAGCATTTGAGTTATCTTCGCTATCAGGCATATCACACAAATCAGCAGCAATTCTCAGTAATTCTGCACAATATTTCCTTCCATTTTTAACAGCATGTTGCAAAGCAGTCATTCCTGTTTTATCTGTTAAATCCAGATTAATTCTCAGATTTCTTGCCAATATTCTTATAGATCCAATTCTTCCTTTAATAGCTGCAATCATCAAAGCTGTTCTTCCGTATTTATCTTGTATGTTTAGATCAGTTTCATCTCTCAAAGTCATCATATGACAAATTTCTGAATTATCAGCCAAAACTGCCTTATGAAGGGGAGTTTGTCCAAACATATCCTGAGCATTTATGTTACAATTTCCAGGTTGTATCAAGAAACAAGCCATTTCAAATCTACCACTTTCGCATGCCACGTGAAGAGGAGTTCTCATATTTCTATCTCTTATATTCACATCCAATTCTTTCATTTTGTATTGATACAAAATATTTCCTAATTGGTAATGCCCGTATCTTGCAACATAATGCAAAGGTGACCATCCAATTGCGCTTTTCAAATTCACGTCAATTTTAGGATGTGTCACTAAAAACTTCAAAATATCTACATGAACAATTCTATTTTGTTCTCTTATATAAACTTCTAATTTCACTTCACTTCCTTGTTCTGATTTTACCATATTTCTAACAAAATGAGTTCCGCAAGAATCCGGATTTCTTGTAGCGATGTGGATTGGTGCGTCACCTTCTTTGTTTAGAACATTCGGGTTTATATCCTTAGAGTTACAAAGAGTTTTAACAACGTCAAGACAATTATCTAAAGATCCAATATGAAGAGCAGTGTTTCCATCATTATCTTGTGCATCTAAATACAATTTCTCAGACATCATTAATGTTAAAATACTCGTTGAATCAGCGTTTTTAGCTGCAATTAAAAGAGCAGTATTTCCATCTTTATCTTTCATGTTTATATCTAAATCAGGCATGCTCAAAAGTTCATGAATTATGTTGAAATGTCCTGAAATTGCACTCAAACTTAAAGCGGTTTTTCCGTTTTCATCTTTTGAATTTATATCAAGTTTATCATTCATTGCCAAGAAGTACCTTAAAACATCACGACTACCTACACGCGCGGCATATCTCATTAAGTCTTCATTAATTGAAGATTTCTCATTTTCAACATAAAATTTTGTTAACCTTAAATTATTACTTGAAACAATATTATTAATAACTGTTCCATAGATGAGCGAAATAGCATTTAAGTCATGGCAGCAGCTCCTAAACAAGTGTTGGAACAAAGAATAATTATGGAATAATGCTGCAATGTGTAAAGAATTCGTAAAATCTGTTTTGTTGTTTTTTATCAAATTAAAACATTCAATTGAATTTCCAGCAACACAAAAATCAATTAAAGTATTTCCTTTATCATCTTTGGCATTAACATCACATCCTTTCTCTATTAAATAGCTGAAACAATCAACAGAATTGAAATAAGCAGCGTATTGAATTAAATTTGGATGATTTTGGATAAACCATGATGGTTCGAAGCAATGTGGACTTATTCTTTGATTTATATCAAATGTAGGGTCCGAAATAATCTCTTTTAATTTAATTATATCATTATTTTTCAAAATTCTTTCGATACTGTCATCTGTAGTTACATTCTTAATCAGTATATTCCATAGCATCCAGTTATTGTCTCTAAGGCTCTCAAAATTCGAAAGAAGCTCTCCAAACTGCGATGGAAGATGTCCTGAAATATTTTCGTAATCTACAATCGAAAGTAAGTGCATAAAGAATGTAGGATCACCTATAAGTATTTGTGGAGCAAACCATTCGAACAATCTGCACAAATGATATCTTCTTTGAGAACAAGTTTTCCAAAAGTCATTAATTATAACGACAAGTAATTTGGTATCAAATAGACTGATGTCTAAACAGTTCTTAATGAAGCATAATCGACAAGAATGCAATTCTGAATTCGATTCTGCCAAATGAGAGTAAATACCCCATTTAATAAGGGCTCTACACATGCGCTTTTGCTCTTCTTTGTGGTTGTAAATGACTTCCGCTGTCAATTTCGCTAATTCTGGAATTGATTGTGGCTGATATTCTGCTGCAAAGTAGACATTTGATATGAATTGGTTGTAATAATGAATATCTTTGTAATATATTGACTCTTTGAGAATTGGAATCGAAAATTCTATCTTTGTATTTTTTAGATTCATTAAAAGATTCTGTAATTGAGTGATATTTTCGATTTCTTCGGCCTCTTGCTCCTTTGTCAATGGTCCGTTCCGAAGAGGCTCGAAGAATTCTCGCATATTCATTTCTCAGGTTGAAATTTAAGGGGGTGACATTTCCGAATTTCGATTCCAAATTAAAATAAAAATGTTAATCTATTAAGAAGTATCATCGTAAATAGAAGTTATCCTTTTCGGATTCGACTTTTTGATAAATGTTCTTCAAAGATTTTTATTTAGTATATTTGATTCTATCTTTTTTTGCACAAAAACATGCAGAAATATAAATTTACCAAAAATTAGCAAGTAAAAAATAATTTTTCAAACAATCAATGCTCTGTTCCATTGAAGATCAGCCTGATATTGGGGCATTTAAAATAGATCTAAGGAATGATGATTGTTCAATCCCACAGTACATGCAACACAATTTCATAATCTTAACACTAATTAACTCTTCATTTGTACCTCATTACTTATGCAATAGATCAAGAAATTTAAAATGGTTGTTCATAAGTGAAGGAATTGAATCTATTGGTCATCATTCATTTCAAGATTGCTATAATCTAAGAGAAGTTTCACTTCCTAACTCTCTCAGATCAATTGAAAGCAGCGCATTTCGTTATTGCTACAATTTGAACATAATAAATACTCCATATCGAATTGAAATAATTGAAGAGTTTGCTTTTTCCAGCTGTGAAAAATTAACTAATTTTAACCTTGAAAATATAACAAGAATAGGCAAATTTGCATTTCGATATTCTGGACTAGAAAATATTAACCTTTCAAAAAATATTCATGAATTAGAAGAAGGAATTTTTATGTTATGCAGTAATTTCACAAATATATCTATTCCTGATTCAATATATACAATAGGTAATTCTACATTTAGCCAATGCATGAATTTAGAAGAAGTTTATTTACCTGATACAACAACAAGTATTGGGCATCGTTGCTTTTCATGGTGTAAAAAATTGAAAAAAATCAACGTTCCAAAGCACTTACTTAATCTTAGTAGCTACATATTTTCTGAATGTTCTAGTTTAAGTAATATTGAACTTCATGAAAATTTAACATGTATTGGTGCAGGGGCATTTATGTATTGTAAATCCATCAATAGAATTGTAATCCCTGAAAATATAGGAAATATTGACGCTTTTGCATTTTCTGGTTGTAGAAGACTTATAGAAATCAATTTACCAGGAAAGATAACAACAATATCAAAGAATTTATTTTCTTGGTGCAATGCATTAGAAACAATAACCATCCCACAAAATGTGTCAGAAATAGAAGAAAAAGCTTTTTATTTCTGTGAAAACTTAAAATCTATCGTTATACCAGAAAAAGTCACAGTGATCCCATCCTACTTATGTTATTGCTGCTATAATATAACTAACATTTCTCTACCAAGCAATTTAATCTTAATTAATGAAAGTGCTTTTAGTTATTGTTTTAAACTTATTGATATTATAATACTGAGCACTGTAACTTTTATTGAAAATTATTCATTTGCTAGGTGTAATAATCTCAAAAATATAAATCTGCCTGATACTTTATTAACACTTGGAAATTTATGTTTTTTTCAATGTACACAACTTGAAACAATCGCAATTCCAAACAAAATTACAGTAATTCATCAGCAGTTATTTTTTAGATGTTATAGTCTTTTAAATATCACACTACCAGAAAATCTAAAATATATTGAGGAATATGCATTTGCTTATTGCATTAGTTTAAAAGAATTTCCTACATTGGAAAATGTAGAATCAATCGAATCACATGCTTTCAAAGGCTGTCAAAGCTTAGTCAAACTAAATATCTCGAACAAAATGCAAACTATAAATCGTTGGCTATTCGAAAATTGTACTAGCATTCTAGAAATAATTTTACCAAAAAATCTAAATTATATTGGAGATTTTACGTTTCATAATTGTTCTAGTTTAAAAAAGATCAAAATTCCAAGCAGTGTAACCAAAATATACCCATGTACATTTTATAATTGCAAAGACATGCTAGAAATTGTTCTTCCCGAAAATATGATTGAAATATCTGGAAGTGCATTTCATAATTGTATTAGTCTTATAAATGTAAATATTCCAATTAAAGTAAATAATTTAGGAGAATATGCCTTTTGTAATTGTTCAAGCCTTAAATTTGCAAATTTATCATGCCAAATTAAATCAATTTAATTTTATTCTTTCCTTGATTGCAATAATTTGGTAAGAGTTATTTTACCTGATTCTATCGAGATTATAGAAAAACGTGCTTTTTCTGGTTGCTCAAGTCTTTCTGAAATTAATATTCCATCATCAATTATAAAGTTTTGTGACTGTTCTTTTGCAGGCTGTGGTAATTTATCAATATCCGCGTTTCCAGATGGATTGATGGAATATGGGTATTTCGTTTTTGAAAATTGTTCAAAAATTTCATATTTCGAAATAAAAGAAGGAATAAAATCAATAAATGATAACACTTTCAGCAATTGTGTCAGTTTGTATGAAGTTAAAATTCCAGATAGTGTCTGAGAAATTGGAGATTATGCATTCAATTCATGCACAAATCTCACTGTGATCAACATTCCAAATAACTTAGAAAAAATCGGACATCATTCATTCTGTTTTTGCAAATGTATTTCAAACATAGTATTCCCAAACAGTTTGACTTCAATCGGGAATTATGCATTCGAAAACTGTTCAAATATCACGAATATCATTCTTCCAAAGAATTTAGAATATCTTGGAAGTGGAATATTCCATCAATGCGATAAATTGAAATATGTTAAAGTCAACACAAAGAATCTCACAATTCTGCAATATAACTTTTATAAATTTCAATTTTGTAAAATGGTCATTGATTCAAACTTTCGATCTGCTGGTCCATTTTATAGTTATTTTGAATTATACTATACAGGTGATACCGATATTCAAGATAAAAGGACAATATCAGATATTTCAACTTTTGCAAAAGAAATTTATGTCAAACCAATTTATTCACTTAAAACATTTTGCGGTAGAAAAGTATCTGTTTTAAATGAATCAGAATTTGCAATAAGATCAGAAGATATTATATGCAGAAATTGTTCTAAAGGAAAATCAGAGCTTGATGGAATTTGCCAAATAATCATAACAGAGCCATATTTTAGAGGCTCTTTATTGTCCGAATCTTTAATAGTTAAACTAATGGCTGTATTGAATTGATTAATTAATTTTTGCATTTTACAGTAATTTGAGTTTGAAATATATAAATGATATCATATTCTGTTTGGCTGAACATAGAAGTATGGCTTCAATTAGTATATATTGAACTCCATGAAAATGTAGCATTCATTGATATTTTTGCTTTAATATACCAGAAAAGGTTACAAAAATATAGAAATTTTCATTTTATTGATCCATTGCGCTAGAAAAATTAATTATAACAGAAGTAAGAGATTTTTATTTCTGTAAAAACATTACATCGAATATTATAACGGAAAAAGTCTGCCCAATCCCATCCGAATTACTATAAAACTAACATTTCCAAATAGTTTAGTCGGTTTTTGCATTTTTAAAATGTTAGTCACCTTTCTCCTTCCAAAGTGAAAAAAATTGTTTAAAATATAAAAAGAATTTTTATTCGCATAGGCGACAAACAAGGATTTATAAATAAATAATGGGGCTTTGAGTATTGATCTGAATTGAATCAGATAATTAGCCGTAAAAAATCTTCTAATAACGATTTCTCATGCATGAAAGATGGCTATGAGTGGCGTTAATGAGGGCGTTTGATAATTGGAGTTGGACATAAAATTTGGAGATCTTAATTTTTGAGAATTTTGGTGCGATCTTACTGGTACAAGCAAGAGTATGGAAGGAGATTGAACTGAGAAAAAAACTAGAGCATGCAAAAGAATCATGCTACAGCTTAGTTGAATGTCATTTATGCAAATATAAATATCTTTTTCAAATTTCAAACAAATTTTTGCCACTTTTTGAAAGAAGATAAGGTAACAAACATTTTAAAATGCAAAACCTAGACTTAAACTATGCCGAAATGTGAGCTCACCGTTACGGTTTTTTTCTTTTTTTTGGGGCTCGCAAGCTCGCCCCCCAAAGAAAAAACCGTAACGGTGACTAACATTTAGGAGGGGCGGCGACAAATTTGCCCAGCCAGTAAAGTATTCAATTTTTTTGCATTTTTTTAAAGCTTCTTAACTTAAATCATGGAATGTCTCAAAGACAAAAGTAGCATACAGCATGTAAAGCTAAAGAAAGATAATCATAATTAATACCTTAATTTTTAATATTACGCATTTTTAGGTGCAAAATTTAAAAACATTCTAATACAATAGAGCAGTTTCTAAAAGTAGCATACAGCATGCAAAGCTAAAGAAAGATAATCATAATTAATACCTTAATTTTTAATATTACGCATTTTTAGGTGCAAAATTTAAAAACATTCTAATACAATAGAGCAGTTTCCAAAAGTAGCATACAGCATGCAAAGCTAAAGAAAGATAATCATAATTAATACCTTTAAAGTTTAAAATCTTGATTTTTTTTAAAATCAAATATTTATAACTTTAATACATACAGCTTAAACCTTATACTTGTTTTCTCTTGTGAGAAAGCAATCTTACAAAGCTAACAATCCTAAAAAATAAAGAATTAAAATTTAATAATTTAATCTAACAAAATTTCTCTCTTTATCCTTTTGCACTCTTTATATGCAACTCAAATCCATCATATAATATTCCTATAATACTCTTGCCTCAAACAATAGTACAGTATACATTGTGCGTCGCCTGTAGCCTACAGCTACAGGCACCGACACAATGAAAAAAGTGACAGAAAACTGACACCATACGGGCGCGCATATGTACGCATATATGTGTAAAAATAAACGTTCATATGTAAACTAACCTTTATTCACTAGCAGGGGCTGATAAATCATAATCGTCGAGAAGTACGATAGGTGGTCCCACCTGTTTAATCTGTATGGAGAGGCAAACGTGACGTAAGAAGCATAACACTGGTTTCTCAGTATATTTAATAGACTCTGCTGTTGGCTTAACTGTAAGCTTATAAAAGAAGCAGATCACGGAGGCAAAGAAACGCTTACATCAACTCCTTGATGAACAATAAGCTTACTTAAGACTAAACAATTAATTATACTAACTTTTATACTTTTTCTCTTTTCCTAAGTTGATCGTGATCACAAAGATCGTGATCTGAGTGACAATGAACTATAAGTTATATGAGGATATATGTGAGTAATGTGAGTATAAAAAAGAGTTATAGTAGTAAAATTAGGTGTTTATTCGTGGTTTAGAGGAGGGATCAGAAGTCAGTGGCTAAGTTCCTTATGGCGCGCTTTAATTCATGGTAGGATGTGTCAGCCTTAAGGAACCTTTCATGCCAGCTGTCTGACTCATGTCCCACACGGTTGAGACGAGATCGAAGATCGCAGATCTCGTTGGCATAAGAGTCAACTTTATACTCAAGCTGGCTGATGTAGAGCTCTTTACCTTTCGCTTCCTCTACTTTTTCAGCCAGCTTGAGCTTTAGTTCCTCGAGAGCTACGTTTGACTCCTCCAGCTGCTTCAAATACTTGTGGCTGGTCTTGATTAAACGTAGCTCTCGAGGAGTAGCTCGTGGACCCGTTTTCTTTGCCGTTTGCTTGTGATCGAGATCTGGGATCTTGATCTCGGTCTTCGGACTCTCGCCACCCATCAATATTTCCTCGTCGCCAGAGGACTGTTCTTCAGTCACCTCTGGCTTCTGGATGGCAAGAGCTTAGCAGGAGCTTTGTTGTTCGCTTCCATTAAAATGTAAACTTTACGTGTCAAAAAAATTCTGTCACGTAAACTATTTATGTTGAGATTGAGTACCAGACTCTAATATAAGTTCAACCATTATATTAGAGTCTTTAGGAATTTCATATGGTTCTTTTACATAATATTCCTTTTTTTGACCATCAGTTGATTCTTCAACTCTTTTGAATGAAAAGCGCTTATAAAACTCAAACACGAGTGCATCTTTATAACCAGTGATATCGTAAAATTTTGGTGGCACAAGCTGTTCATTCACATTACATATAAATTGTTTGTTATCATGAGCAATATTACTCAACGTTACTAAAGGCTCAAGGAGAGGATTTATTCTTATCTGATAACCGACAAATTTATATGTTGGTTTGCCCTTTCGCTCAAGGATAAACCTGATATTCGCTATAGTTATGAAAAGCTCATCAAAGTACTTATATGTTTTTTTATCTTTATCATTTTCGTCAGTGAAATCTGCTATGGTAAAACTATAATATACATGCATTCGCGAGATATATTTTTTTTCCCATAAGTCTAAAAATTTTGCTTTCGATGGAATTACTTTTTGCGTGAATGTTCTACCATGGTCATCTTCCCAAACAAGCTCTGGTTTTCTTGATGTTGTGTCTGTTTCAGTGGTTTCTAATAACGCAGTGATGAAATCCAACACATCTCCTAGGGACATGTCATATTTATAATTCAAGGCATTTTTTTCTATACTACTGTATGAAGGTAATGTTATGATTGGTGATGTACCTTTTCTTAATACATTCAATTTATTTTCATTTGAATCATAGTAACAATCAACAAATTCTCTACTTGCCTCAGTCATTTTTTCCATAAGACCTTCATTCAACTCCTGTGTAGTCATGTTGGGTTTTATGTAATATCTCATGTCAAACCTTTTTTCACTGATTTTGATGAATCTGTCATTTCTAATGGAATAGCAAGAAACTCAAAGTCTGGATGCTCAAGACTTATCTTTCTTATCTCAAGAGCTTTTGACGCAGGATATTCAATGAAGTCTCTCGGTAATTTATATGAGACTGTATTACCACTTATCGTGCCATCATTCATAACATGTTCATAGTATAATCCATCATATTTAGACATTTTATATGTAACTAAAAGATGGAGAAAGTTATTAATCAAGTAGATAAGATTCTTCATGATGGAGCACGTAAGAATAGTAAAGAACTAAACAATGCACTCATTATGCCATTTTCTGATGATTATCCATTTTGTACTAATGGTGTTTATTTCTACTGCGGTAAGATGGGTTCAGGTAAGACATATGGTGTTATTCGTCATATAATGATAACAGACCGCTTCACTAATACTCCATATTATGACTCAATAGTTATCTCAGCAACATCAGGAACAATGGATAAAACAGCGAAGACATTTATGAGTCAAGTTAAAGCACCAGTACTGAAAAAGGATGATAAAGAACTTATGCCTTATTTAATGAAGAACGTTAAGATGAAAGCAAAGTATTACGCTATTGTTGAGTTCGTTCAAAGTAAGTTCGAAAAAATTTCAGAGGAGATGGAACACATCTTAACAAAGCATCAACTAAGGAAACCTGATGGAAAGTTTGAGTATAAGAAGATTGCAATATATGTTGTAAAGAAGTTGAACAAATATCCTTTCACAAAGTATCCCAGTAATTCTCTATTAGTGTTAGACGATTATGGTGGTCATGACTTATTGAATGACCCACGTTCACCATTAGCGAACTTCATCACTAAGGTCAGACATTATAACTATACTGTTGTCATCATGTGTCAAACATGGAGACATATATGTTTAAACATTAAGAGACTATGCACTGACTTCGTTATCTTTCAAGGTTATTCTATGAGAGACTTTCAGTCAATGATTGAACAGTCAGGAGCAACAGAAGATTGGGAAGAGTTATGGAACAAATACAAAGAGCTACCAACACCTCGTTCATATATGGAAGTTCATATAGTTGCAGGAAAGACGGACTTTAAAGAAGTTAAGCAACAAAAGATGACATTATTTTAAGAAGAAATAAATGGGTTTTGGCGATTATGTTAAAGCTGGATGGGGTATGGTGAAAAAAAATCCTGGTCTTGTAATAGGTGCTGGATTTAACATTGCTAACAAACTTTTCCCTCAAGTTGGTCAAGTCGGTGGTGTTATCGGTAGTCTTGGTGAAAGAATTGCAAAAACTACATTAGGTGAAGATAATGCATTAACGAAGAATCTTAAAGCATTCAATAAAGCTCTTGGTGGTGACTTCAGTAGAGACAAGCCTGTTGAAACACCTATAGTTCAACCTCAACAAACTATTGACAACAATAAGTATAACGCATACATTGGAGGAGCTATTTGGAACAATCATAAGCCATTAGTTCAGTCAGTACGTGTACTATCAGACATGCCATGGATTAATGCTATTAGTGGCACTATACGCAGATAATATATTTTTATGAGGTTTAAATGAGTGAACAAGAGAGGAAACTCATTGATGAACGAGTTAAGAAATGGGAGAATGAACGTCCGATAATTCGTACCATAATTAGCGATCAAAAGTTCAAGCAGCATACATTTGATTTTTTGCGCGATATATATAATGATCTTGCTTTTGATTACAATGCTAGGCAATACTTTGAGAAAGAATATGTTCAAAAAGGTCGTATTAATTTCCCAATGAGAAGAGAAGGCTTTTTGATTACATCAACATATACAGCACGTGGTAGAGACCCTTTTACAGACGCGGTTCGTAACTTTAAAGCACGTTCTTCTATTAATGATGATCCAGATTTCTACATACCTTATTTTCGTCCACCTTCGCATCCTTTACGAACCAGTGATCCTGGATATGACGCTAAACGAAGATATATAGAGACGAAATTAGCTAAATACAAGGAACCTAAGGATCCAAGGACTGGAGAAGTAAAGGAATCACATGTCAAGATAAATAAGCTTTACAAAGTAGTTGAAGAATTGGAGAAACGATCTAATGAGATTAACGCTGAGAAGAAAAAGGAAGTACCAAATATGAACAAACTAGATAAGATGATTAAGGAATATAGAGGATTGGCGAATACATCGAGCGTTCTAATAAAGGAAGTAGAAAACACGACAAAGCTGCAGAAAATGATTCATGATGAATTACTGTTAGGTGAATTTTCTATAAAACAAAGACAGAGTAACTTAATGGGTGAGGCTTATTATTTGGAGAATTGGTATAATGAGAGGTTAAAACAAATGTCGACTCCAACACCAACTCCTACACCTACTCCTACAGTAGCTCCAACACCAACTCCCACTCCTGAACCAACAGTAGCTCCAACGCCAACTCCTACAGTAGCTCCAACGCTCTGAACTGCTCACGCAGGTCCTCCACCAATGTCGAGTAGTCATGGTATAACATTAAATAAACCAACACCTACACCAAAAATAACTCCTGTATCACATCCTAGTACAACTAACCCAGTATCTGATTCAAATCAAGCGGAAAGATCACAGGTTCTTAAAAGAGCTAATACACCAACTGCTTCCCCTATTAGAACACCAGAGCCAACTCCAAGAATCACAAAGGCGCCAACACCTTCACCGACTGTTGAACCAACTCCAGAACCAACAGTACCTCCAACTCCATCTCCAACTCCATCACCGACACCTACAAAAGCACCTACTCCATCTCCAACTCCGACTAAAGCTCCGACACCGTCTCCAACACCAACTAAAGCTCCAACACCGTCTCCAACTCCAGCTGAACCAACTGATGCAGAATCTATTCAAAATTGGTTAGACGAAGAAAAGCGAAAAGAAAAGGCTGCAATTGATGCTGCACTAGATAAAAACACACCACCACAGACACTTGGTGGTTACATGTTAAAGAAAGACAACATTCAAAGACAAGAACGTGCATTGAGTGTTGCCAGAGAACAAGCACAAGAAGAGAAGAAAATAGTTGAAGGAGAAGCTTCAAATAGAGGTGGTCCAGGAACTTACAAAGGATCAAACTATCCAGCAGAGAAAGCCTCGAGTGATAATGTTGTCTCAAGAGCTACTGATTTAGTTACCCATGGTATTCTAACTGGTGCAACAGCTGTTGGTAGTGCTATTGGAACCAGTGTTGACACTGTTGTTGATACTGTAAGAACTGTTACAAATCCTACACCTGAAGATAGGAAGGAAGAATTTCTTACTCTTAATACAAAGGCAAAACCAGGGATATGGATTGGTCGTGGAATTTTAAATGCTGGTAGTGCTATTGGCAATGGTGCTTCAGCGGTAGGGGGATGGCTCGGAAGAACAGCAACATCAACCGCAAATGGAATACTAACAGGTGCCAAATCACTTGGTAATTGGGCTGATGATAAGTATACAAAATATTATGAAGAAAAAGCTCGTAAGGCTAAGGAAGAAGCTGAACGAAAGGCGAAAGAAGAAGCTGAACGTAAAGAACTAGAGGAGCTTAAGAAGAAAGAAAAAGCTCGTAAGGCTAAGGAAGAAGCTGAACGAAAGGCGAAAGAAGAAGCTGAACGTAAAGAACTAGAGGAGCTTAAGAAGAAAGAAAAAGCTCGTAAGGCTAAGGAAGAAGCTGAACGAAAGGCGAAAGAAGAAGCTGAACGTAAAGAACTAGAGCTTAAGAAGAAAGAAAAAGCTCGTAAGGCTAAGGAAGAAGCTGAACGAAAGGCGAAAGAAGAAGCTGAACGTAAAGAACTAGAGGAGCTTAAGAAGAAAGAAAAAGCTCGTAAGGCTAAGGAAGAAGCTGAACGTAAAGAACTAGAGGAACTTAAGAAGAAAGAAAAAGCTCGTAAGGCTAAGGAAGAAGCAGATAGAAAGGCGAAAGAAGAAGCAGATAGAAAGGCTAAGGAAGAAGCTGATAGAAAGGCGAAAGCAGCAACACCATCGCCAACTCTCATCTCCTTCATCTCCATCTCCTTCACCATCACCAACTCCATCGCCATCTCCATCTCCTTCACCATCAATAGCGGCTCCTGTGAGACAATTTGGTGCATGGGGTGCTGATTTAGTCAAAGATGCTGCACAAGGAATTGGAAAGGAACTGAAGAACACAACATTAGGTACAATAGAGCGTTTTGGTAATCTTACGGATTACACAATTAGATCAGCTGCTAATCTTTTATATAACCAGACTACTGATAACGGTACTGATGAATTGGCTGTAAACGGACTAGCATCAATTAAGAAATCAGCAGAAGATAAATACGATGAATGGAAAAAGAATATTAAGGGTGAATATAATAAGTATGCATATCCTGAAGAACATATGAAGTTAGAGCTTACCAGACTAAGATCAAAATATGGTAATGAAACAACAAATACTACAACGCAAACGACGAAAGCTGACAGAAAGATTGATGACACTCCTACTCCAACTCCTGCAATGGCGAACATCACAACAATTGCTCCAAGAGTTCCAACAGGAGAAGGTATATCAGGAAATGTTTCAACTACTCATAACATTACTGAAGCAGCTAATGTTTCAGCAGTTGAGCAACCTGTTGTTAATGTAACTCAGGAAAACGCTACTGAAACATCAACACCAAGACAGGATGTAAATAATGAACGTCCAGAAGTTAAGGAGGTTGCAAAAGCATACCTGGAGAAAAATACTACACAAGTTCTTGAAGCAGAAAAGCATCTCAATTCAGACAAAACACCATCTCCAACTCCTGAAGCATCAGTTCCTCCAGCAATTGGTGGAAATATACCTTCAGTATCACCATGGCAGAAATTTTATGGATTGTTTAAAGGAGCGAATAAGGTAATGGATGCTGCTGAGAATCTCCAAAAGTTCAAGAATGAAGTCGCAACTGGTGCAAAGGAAATAGAAGAGAATGATAAACAAGCTGCTGAATTAGCTAAACAACAAGCTGAAGCAACTAAACAAGCAGCAGCTCCTAAACAATCTATATCTAAGTCTCAAAGACAAGGTCCTGACCCAAGTGCTAAAGTCAAACAGAATCCAACACCACCTGCAGCAGAGAAGTCCAAGAAGGACAAGGACAAGAAGAAGGATAAATCAAAGAAGGACAAGGACAAGAAGAAAGATAAGGATAAGAAAAAATCGTCAAAAGATAAAAAACATAAAAATTTATCCAGTAAGAAATGAGTCAAGTCATTAAAGCATCAACTAAACAAAAGTGGTTAACTGAATATATAAAGATGGTAAGGTTCCTGATGGATATTATGTACATACAATGAAAGACGGACGTGTACAGTTCCGTAAAGTCAAGCAACCTCTCAATGATGAACAGATCAGAAGGAAGATCTCATTGTATGAAACAAAAATAAAGGACTTACAAGCTAAACTCGAAACCCACGATACTTCTCAAGAAAACTAGGCATATCTTTAACATGACCTTCATTAATATTTTTCCTCCAATACTGTACTTCCATTTGTGACAACCTGTTTGGATTACCTTCACGCATACCTCTACCTGTCACTTTTCCTGTATTTTCGTTCTCAAACGTAACATCATACTTTACATCATTACCGACAAGTTCATGACCATCAATACTTTTAACAGCACCGTGTCTTCCTTGATCTAAAGTTTCTCCTTGCTTTAATCCATGCTCTATTTTTGTCCATATCTGATAACGTGGATATCTTGCAACACTTCCATCTTTTGCTCTTAACAAGTATGCACTTGTATCAACTGAATCAACTGTATAATAAGAAGGATCAAGATGTCTTCTTTGTTGGTTACCTTTACCCCATGTTCTTGGTTCAACTATGACTTGAACTTTTTGACCAGGTCTTAAGTTATAAAGGTTATTTTTTCTGACATACTCTTCTTTCAATCTTTGCTTCTTTATATATTCCTCATTATCCTTTTCTGTGAAATCATCAGGCTTTTGTTGTGTGCTTGAATGATATTCAGTGTTGTAGTCATTAATAATTTGTCTCATTGTATCTGCAGTGAAAGGTGGTGTTTTATCACCTTCTTTGAGGTTTAACTTCATATGTAACATAGTTCTAATAGTTCTACAGAACCTATTAATAATACCTAGTATGTTATGATTGTATTTCTGTGTCGTCATGTGCTCAATGTTATGACTGACCAACAGATCTCGAACATTTTGTGTCGTATAAGCTGGGTCTTCATCACTAGTAAGTATTGTAGGCTTCATTTCACCTGTAGCTTGTGAAATGAACTTCTGCATTGCACTTAGAACATTGTTTGAGTTCTTTTCACTCATTGGGAACGCATAACCTTTTCTACTGTTTACATTGATGAACAAAAGAAAATATGGTGGTGTTCCACCAGGATTCTCAAATGTATCGAATTGATAAGCTCCCATATCAGTTGAATATATTGGTAGCATCAAATCCTCTTGTATTAAAGTTTTTTCTTGTTTACCAACAGTCATTTTTTTATTAACGTTAAAGTCTTACAGGCATTGAGTAATCGCTATAACCATCATGGTCTGCGAATTCATGTAATCTTGATGCATCAGGTTCTTTCTTCGTTGGTGCATGAAACCTTGCTTCATCATAAAGGTTCATATAATGGTTTGTCACGTTTGGGGTAGACCCAATTTTTGCATATTGAGGATATGAGTAATGATACACTAAGTTGAACCCATTACTACCATCATCAACATATATCTTTGGTGGAGGTTGTCTTATTAAATTCCTTCCTCTTGGGGCTTTGAGTTGGACGATCTGATCTAGATCATTGTAAACAACTCCTGTTGCAGTATATTCTGTGTTGTTCTCTGGGTTAATGTTCGTCATTTATATGAGAATAAAACAATTTTTACTCATAACAAATGAGATCGAAGTCAATTCTTTATGGTGCAGCTAATCTTCCAATTGAACCAACAAGCAATGTTGATTCAAGAACAACTAATAACATTGTGATAAAGAACTATCCATCTGGTACAGTAAGTGATGCTCCAACAGAGATAAAAAAAGAGGAAACAACTACGAACTCAGAAGCACCAATGTATCCTCCTCCTTTAAGTCCATTAACTTCCAACCTGACCTCATCGAGATCTGTGGAGACTTCATCGAGGATTGGTGTAGAAGAGTATTTACTTAGTATATACCAGAAGATACTTCTAGACCAAGACAAAGAGCTCTTTTCTAACTTAGTGAGCAAAGATCAGATCTTACTACCTAAGCCAGACTTGGAAGAAGTTGTTCACAGAATGACTGGGTTCAAGTGTGAAATAGACCTACTGGACCCAGACATCACATGTTGTGGTATTCCACCACCTTTCTCAAAAATAGCTCAGATCAGAATCATTGATGAGAACAATATTGCTCAAGAGTTTAAGTATGCATATAATGCACAATATACTGAGTTAATAAGTAGGTATAATTTATGTCTTAAGTATGTGATCGTTTAACCGAAAAGTGACATTTCCAATGAGCCAAAGACTACAAAGGTTCTTTGACCTAATTGCTGAGGAAGATGAACCAATATCTGTAGGTAAAGCAATGAGAGTTCATCACAACGTATTTGGTGAAGAAGATCCCTTCTCAAATCCCGAAGAAGCAATTCTTACCATGTTCATAATGAAATGGTATGAAAAGCATCGTGAGGTTGAAGTTTCATACTACACGTTCTTGTATGAGTTAGGAAAATATAACGTCAAGATGAAAGAATATCTTGAAAAGAGAAACAATGAATAAAACTTATCGTTTACTCAAGTAATTATTTTTAGTACTTTTCGACGTACTTTTTGATCTTGTCAAGAGCTTCGAGCATCTGCTTCTTTGCATTGTGCTTGGCGAAGATGGCTTGCTCAATGGTGAGCTCGAAGGCTTCTTTACCGATCGGCTGGTGTTCGCGAAGATCTTTGAGTGCATCAAGAACTGCAGTGTACTCTGATGGTAAATGGGAGCCATCAATGAGTGTATAAAGGATGAGCATGTACTCCTGCAGTAAGTTCTCCTGTTTCAAGCGGGACTTGAACTCTTCGCGGAGATCTTGAAGCTTTTGGAGCTTCTCAGTGGCTTGAAGGTAGTCAATGATGACCTTCTCTTGTCCCTCAAGTGCTTGTGGGAGGAAGTGGACATAAGCTGTTGACTTCATCAAAAATGAAGTGGTCATGACACTTTTTAAGTTAATGTCCGAGCCATACAGTGATGTCGAAGCAGCACATGAACCAAAGAAGAAGTCTTGCTGGGAAAAGACAAAGATTGTTGGTAACGCAATCCTAGCCATTTGTGTTGTTTTGAACTTGATCGTACTTCTGATCTTGTTCTACAAACTCAACAGAGGTTATTGTCTCAAGTAAACACTTATTTTTATTACCATATAAATGATTTTTACCAAACCTCCTTTACCTTTCATAGGTAATAAGTCGAAGATCAGGAAAGATCTTATCGACATACTCAAAGACATCAAAGGGGATTATGTCTTCGTTGACCTATTTGGTGGTTCTCTCTATATCTCTCATCTGTTGCATATTATGTTCCCAAAAGCAACGATCATAGCTAACGACTATGATAACTACGTTGATAGACTGAAACACATTCATGACACGAATGAAATACTTAAGGAACTTAAGGAGAGAATAAATGTTAAGCCAGATGAGAAAATTCCTACTGATCAGAAAGAGATCGTCAGAGAAGTTATAAGTAAAGCTCCATACATAGACTGGGATACATTATGTTCACGTCTTCTCTATTCTGGAGCATACAAATACTATGATCTTGACACATTAATGAAGAAAGTGTTATACCTCAGATATACTAACTTATTTGGTGAAAACATAGATGACTATCTTGAAGGTTTAACTATTGTTCATAAAGATTGGAGAATACTCTTCAATGAGTATAAAGATCTTCCCAATGTTTTCTTTATATGTGATCCTCCATACTTCCATACTTATTCTATACAGTATGGAGATGAATGGACTCTTAAAGATACTGTAGAAACCTTTGATGTCCTTAATTATCCATCTATTTACTTCAGTAGTGATAAATCTTATACAGAAGAACTTATAGAGATATTGACAAAAAGATATGGAGAGAAATTTCCTATGAGAAAGCATGTTATAGATAGAGGTTTAATTAATCCTAACACTCAGAAAAATAATGAAGTAATATATGTCACTTTTTCTGTTAATGGAGAAGAGAAAGATCAAGAAGATAATAGTTGATGAGGGAACTGAAGAAGCGACGACATTCATCTTTGACGACGGAAAGCTCACATTCGTTGTCGATAAAAATGGACAACACTTACACAAAAGAAAGAGACCAAGAAAATTTTTAGATCTCCCAAAAGCTAGGAAACCAAAGGAACCATTTCCAGTACCAGACGTCCAAGAACCAGAGAGACTTTTGATACCAAAACCTGTGGTTGACAAATATGATCCAGATCAGTTCTTCCCAAAAATACCAAAGTTAGAATAAAAACTCCTTTATTTCTTTAGTATTATATAATAAGTCTATTAGTAAGCTCTGTTCTCGTTCTGTTCTGGTATTTTGACGTCTTTTCATGGTCTCGCATAATAAGATCATGAACTTTTTCTTGAGATACTCGAAGAGCTGAGGTAAGTTATCATATTCTGGATATGTAGGAAGCATCCCTGCTATCGTAAGTGTTGTATCAATAAGGATTGGACTTATATCGGAAAAGTCGAGATCTGGAGTAGAATAAGAAGGTAAGTCTCTTACATGTAGGTAGTCATTATATGCTTTACGCATGAGACTGAGTTTCTGGAGCACAACTATGAGACTTTGGTTCTGACGTTCAAGTTTGCTTAAAGTTCTCTCCAAGCTTCTGTAATAAACGTCAACCTCTGTAAGAGCAGATATTTTTGCATTGATCTCGGAGATCTTTTCTTGAACTTCACCAAGTTTGACCTTAACTGACGTTTGAGCTCCCATCATGTTTTCATCAAGGTCATTCTCTATGTCATCAATGATATCTTCCCATGAAGTCATGTTTTCATCATTGATCTTAACGTGAACACTCATGAAAAAATGTCATGTAAAGTATAAATGTCAGATTTTTACTCTTGAGCTTCTTCTCTCTGGATTGACTCGTCTGTAGGGCTTAATGTGCCATCACGTTCGACCAGAAGGTTCTGCTCAGGTCTGTCAAGGAGCTGTCTGTAGGTCGTGAAGGTTTCAACGAGTCCTTGGTAAGGAGTTTGGAGATCAACATCGACCCATGGGTGTTTGCGTAAGAAAGCAGCAAGGCTTTCACGCTTGGAGTCAATGACATCTTTCTTATTGGTTAATCCTTCTTCAAAGCTTAGGATTACTCCTGCAGTTGATTCAAGTCTTTGGATCTGGCGTCTGGAAACCTTGGTGAGTTGTCTTATCCTCTCGTTTCCAAATACATGCAGGAGATATGCAGAAATTACTTCATTAAGTTCGATTAAACAAATTGGATGAAGATCAGTCATGGCTTTTGTAAAGCAATCTTTTGTCAAGACGTCTTTTGTAAAGCAAAAGTATTCAATTTTGTGAGAAAATGCTTTTGTAAAGCAGTCTTTTGTAAAGCTGTCTTTTGTCAAGACGTCTTTTGTAAAGCTGTCTTTTGTAAAGCAGTCTTTTGTAAAGCTGTCTTTTGTAAAGCTGTCTTTTGTAAAGCTGTCTTTTGTAAAGCAGTCTTTTGTAAAGACATAACCGACGACCGAATGTCCCAAGATGGTACAACACCAGCTCCAGCATCACCAACACTAGATATGATGGCAATGATGATGCAGATGATGCAACAGCAAACCCAGCTTATACAGCAAATGCAGGAAAAGAAAACTTTCAATAAACCTGCAAAGAACTCACAAGATCTTGAAGCTGGACTCAATGCTCTCAGGAACGACTACAAGAGAGAGCAGATGACGTTTAGGAAGAAGGGTGATGAAGATTATGAGAATGATCCGATCGAGGAAGACGAGATCAAGTCCACTGCATCCACAAAGACCCTCCAGGATGAAAGAGATGATGAGGGATTCCTTACCAAGTCTCAAAGACTCTTTGTCCTTGAGTTCTTCACGATCTCTGCCTTGAGATCTATGAGGAATTGGAAGGGTCGCGTTCCAAGTGGCTCAAACAAGCGCGAACTACTCATGACCGCAGTACCGCTCACTAAGACAAAAGTCCAGCTCATGGACTTTATCCTTTCCGCTTGTCCCGACGAGATCTAAGATCTGATCAGAGTAAAAACTTACATTTATGAGCTAAGCTCAGTAATAATTAGTTGTTTATTCTTTCTTCTCATACTTCTGTGCAAGGTTTCCACGGAAGAACTCAAGCAACATTTGGATCTTTCCAAGCTTTCGACCTTCTTTTTCGAGGTCATCCTGGTAAGTTCGGAATGCGTCAACGTGTGAGCTCGCATAGAATGCAGCAACAACAACCTCTTCTGCACCTTCTTTGCTGTCAAGTGGCATGAACTCGAATCCTTCCATTCGACCAAATAAAAGTGACAAAAATGTCAATGAGACCCACTCGTTGCATAGATGCTAAACCTGGTCCGAAGATGCAAAAGTTCTTCAGAACACTCATGTCTGACCAGAGGGAGTACGGTCATGAAGAGGTCATACAGATCTTCGATCAGTGTGTACCAAAGCCTGAGAATCCAGACGAACTCTTCATGTAAATTTACTTGCTTCAATGGAGAGATGAGAGACCAGGTATGAAACTCAGACCAATAACAATCTTTCCAGGTTTCTGCAATTACCTAGAACAAGCATGCCAGATCAAATGGTCTGACACCATCTTCCTCCAAAAATAAACTTTATCGTTTATAACACTTCAGGATCTACATCTATTTCTTCTGCTTCATCCTCAATGTCGATCTCTTCGACAGGTTTGATAGCAGCTTTGAGTAAGTTCTTACCCATTGTCTTAAGTTCAACTGGGTTATATTCTTTGTCTTTACTCTTTGTTGATTTCGTGAGATCTACATATAAACAATAACTTTTAGTCTTGTCAAGGTTTATTCTCGCTGAGAAATGGTCAGGAATGTTTATAGCTATCTTTTCAAACTTGAGTAAATTAGCTAAACCTTCATTTGTGTATTTCTGCTTATCGACAAAGATCATGATCGGACTTGCACTATAACCATACTTTCCTTGACATAATGTTTGTGGTAAGCATATAAGTAGTCTCTTTGCTGTTTTATTTTGCTTCTTCACTTCATCTACAAACTGTTGGATCTTAAAGAACTTTATATGATGTTCAGACATCTTTATATACCCGATAAAAAGTTCAGATAAAAAAATAATTAGCTATATTTTTATTAGTGCATAAATGAGTCTTTCTTTGAGATTTTCTGATGAAGATCTAACTTTGGTAAGATCTTTAAAAGATGATGAAAACATTCTTTCTGTCATTGATGAAGAAAAGAAATACTTCAGTAATGATGTAAAAATAGAGCTACTCATTCATACTGAGAAACAGTTTGTGATCGTGATCTTGAGTTAAGCAGCTCTGAACCAAGCGAATACAGTCATAAATGGTGGTAAGAAGTCTTGACCTTTTCCTGTTGCATCTGTGATTCCAGCTACTGTGTGAGTATGGTTTCCTGCAGATCCGCAGAAAATACCTGTACTAACATCTCTAGGGTCATCTGTGATATCATATCTATTCATACCTTGTCTATCAGAACCTGCTGCAAGATTTGTATAACCTCTTTTTGTCATTGAATGTGAATGCTCTCCATTAGTAGATGTTGTTGCACTGAACCTATGGGAGTGTGGTGGAAGGTTTTCAACTCTGATAGTCTTTGAACCACCAAAGTCCATTGATGAGTTAGAACAGTAAAGAAACTGATCAACAATCGGTTGCCAAACACCTCCATAAAGGGTTTGCGGGCTTGTTGAGCTCATTGATGTAAATATAGAACCAATTGGATACATCATGTCAAACATGTTAGAAGGTCTATAAGTATAATCTACTGTGGTGACATCGTTCAAATAAAACTCAAACGTATCTCCAGGATGAATAGTTAAGTTTGTTCCATCTTTTTTGTGGAACACAAGTTCAATAGATTTACCATGACTCAATGTATAGTAACTTGGACCTTTTTCTGATGGACCAATGTTATAATTTATAAATATTGCAACTTTACCCATATCATTATTACCAAAGCTAACTGTAATGCTTTCAGGTATTCCATTGTTTACAGATGCATTAGAGATCTTTGAGATCTGTTCATTAACATAAGTTTTGTCTGCTTTGTTGTCTAAAGAAGTTTGAAGTGAATTTATGTCGGAGATATTGTGTTTATGAGATTTCAAAACTTTGTTCGTTGCGTCAAGTTCATCTTTGTCAGCTTTACTTTTAATAGCATCTTCAACGGTTATTTTTGCCTTAACTCTCAACCTAAATCTTGGCTCAACTAATACACCGTTAACAAAGAAGTATGAAGCATAAATTTCAGCGTTATAACCAAATGATTGTGGTGCTATACCTGTGTCATACTGTACAGTACAGTGTATGTCATAACCTTTAGCACGAATGAATTTATATCTTCTTTCATTAACATTTTTCGTATTCACTTTTTCACCCTGTGTTAAATATCCGTGGTAGTCCGTTATAATCTGTTCATCTGAACTTATATAATGAACATGGTTCTTGTCAGCTTTCTTATCTAACATTGCTGGTAGTTCATATACTTCGAAGTTTCTGGCATGACCTTCAATGTTCGTACATTTACTATCTAAACTGTTAAGAGTATCTTTTACGCTAGTGCTTGGATCTTCTTGTGGAGCACTTGAACCTAAAGTATAGTTCAAGATAATGTCATCAGCTCTTATTTTCTTGATTTGAACTGGTTGGTCATTATCAGCTCCTATTTTATTGATTATAACAGGTTTGTCTTCTCTTGAACGAATTGATTTAACTGTCAAAGGTTCAGTGAACTCATTATTTTTCAAAGGAAACAATGTTGTATTGATGTTTTCACCATTAATATATACTTCTTTTGTATCAATACCAGATGGGAATGAAACTCTTTCATTAACTTTAACTGTTGTACCATCACCTGGGTACATATCTTTCTCTGGACCTTTGATTGTCTTAAGTATGACAGACTGTGATAAAGTATATTCTTTAGATGCAACTTTACGTATCTCTTCGTCAACATAACTTTTGTCAGCTTTGTCTGCAATCTTAAGTGCAGTTCTTCCTCCATTATTTTTGTTCTCCTCAACTTTCTTCGCTAATTCAGCAAGAATGAGATAAAGATAATCAGTAAGGTCATCAGTACCAGACATATTAATATTATTGTTCTTTCTTGATGTATTAGCAACTTTCACTAAGGTCACAAAATCAGGGTACAAAGTACTTAACGTAGAAATGATTGTTTTTGGTCCAGGATCTTTCTCTTCTTCATCATTAGCATCACGTGGCATTGGAATTGGTTCCAAAGGTCCAGTCACATCAAAACTCTCAAGTTCCATATAACCTTCATTTCTGAATCTTTCTATATGAGTTATCTTCTGGAAACTTGTTTTAGTCTTTTCAACTAAATTTTTTATTCCATCCACAAAACCTCCTTTATGATTTGGACCAAGATTACCCAGAGTGTCAAGAACAGTATCTATACCTTCTTGACTTTCAACAAAAGCCCAAAGAGCATTTATTTGACTCTGGAGTGATATCCATGAGGCTGCAGTAGCACCGGCGTTTGCTATGGCAAAGATGAATGATAAAGGGTTGAACTTAAGACCAGATTCTTTATCTTTGACAATTTCAACGAAGTCATTGATATTTTTCTTCAAGTATTCCTTAGTCAGAAGAACTCCATCGCCAGCTATACCAGTTGCTTTTGTCTTTCCTTTAACATCAAATGTGATTGGTTTCTTCAATAAAATAACTTCTGGTGTTGTACTGATGCTATCATTAGTGGAGAAAAATTCTCCGACATGACTTGCTAAGTATTCTTTCGTCAATAATGTTCCATCACCAACAATACCAGTTGCTTTTGGACCATCTTCTGTGAATGTCAATGGTTTCTTTAACATAACTTTATCTAAGTATATTGCAATACCACTATTTTGTACTTGTTCATGACCTAATATATAAGCAAATGCTGCGTTTAAAGCATTATACAATGTATCTTCTTTAAATGTTAATTGACTGTTTTCAATCATTGGTATATTGAACAGTGTAGACCTTGGGTCAAAATGAACTCCATGGTCAATCGATAATAACCGTTTAACATGATATATTATAGTCTCTAATGCTTCATTAATATTTACCTCACGAGTTTCTTGCAAACCATTACTCGCCATACATGAAAACATATAATCTCTATCAGTTGTGAAGAATGGAGCATCTAAGTAATTATTCTCTACTTTTGTCACACGATTCTGTAACGCTTGAAGGTATTGATTTAAGTCTGTTTCAACAATTGTACCATCTGGTTGCTCGATAGGTAATATACCAGGACCGATGGTAATGTCTTCATCAGCACCTTCTTTATGTATGACTAAAGCATTATCAGTAATTCTGAGAGTATATTCTTTATATTGAAGTACGCTAGACTTATAACATTCATATGCATATGGAACAACACTCATTCTTTTACTACATATAAAAATGATGTATTATCTACAATCGACTGATCCTAATAACTACGGGACAATACAGTTTCAAGCAGATCCTAACATGGGGCATCCAAGTAAGATAAAGATGAGAGTAAAAAGTGTCAGTACTATGGCGAACTTTATTGTTTGTGACGAAACAGATTATTTTGTCTTACAGTTAGACGAAGATGGAGAAGAAAAGGTGTGTACATTTAAGTCAGCTCTTTCATTTGATATGGATACTATTGTATCAAAACTACAAGAGATTGTAACAAAACAGTTTGATTATTATAACAAGAAAAAAGGTCAACATAATGTAACAGTTTCACTGAGTGCTACGAATCAACTTATATTTACGTCACAGGACAAAGGACATAAAGTCTATTTAAAAGATGCTTCACATAGAGCAAATCTTATTTTAGGTGCATATGGAATAGAACTACCTATTGTACATAATTATTATCTACAAATGCCAAAACCACCTATGCTCAACTTCGGGTATCAGTTATACCTTCGTTCATCAATGTCTGTCATCTCTGGGTTCAATAATATTGACCAAGTTGATGATCGAGAAAGATCATGTACAGATCTACATGTTATAACATCAATGAGTTCTGGATATCTGGTAAACCACTTATATGTAAGGAATCCTCACCATGGATAGATGCATTTCCATGGGAACTAACTAATGTTACGTTTACCTTAGTTGACTTCCAAGATCAGCCTGTTCGATTATTGTCACCAATGTTTATGGTGATAGAGATTAAACCAGATAAGCCAGAAGTTAGAGAAACCAATGATGTCAGTGATGATGATACAGAATCTTCGTACGATTATGATTACGATGACGATTAAAAAAAATAACGTATATTTTTTTATCGGTTATAAAAGACCAACATGCTCAATGCTATAAAAGGATTAGTTAATAACCTTTCACCAGAAGATAAGAAAGGTATGCTTGATATGTTTGGGATCAAAATGCCTAAGAAAGCTAAAGACATTACCAATAAATTAGCTCTGGCAATTAAGAATCAAGGAGGTACAGGAAGTGTAGCAGATATTTTCAAGAATGCTAAGAGCTTCTATGATGACTACAATGGTATCATGAATGTTCCAGCTTCAAATTCCCCAGTTGCTTTAGATCACGATCAGAGATCTCATAATAGAGCGTTAATGGAGATGCAACCAATATACTCAGACCCTCCACCAAAGATTGATGAGAGCGAATTAGCATACAAAGAAATACAGAATGCCTTTTACGTTGTTAAGAACATTAATGGTCAAAAACTTCCTGATGAGAAATGGTTAGACCCAATAACTAAAGCAGGAGAAAGATTCATTATGTTTAACATTGACCAATACAGTCCAAGAGGAAAAGATTACTTCAACAAGATGTTTCCAAGAGTTATGGCAAAGTTCATTGGACAGATAGACCTTTTCAAACAGAAGTGGACATTCTATTACGACTTTGATGAGAAGAGAAACATTTTGCGTCATTTGAACATCAATACAATGGGATCATTAGTTCATCAGTTACTTAATGAAGCTCCAATAGCAGAAGTACAAGAATTAGCATCTAAAGTCCTTGAATCAAACTATGACTTCTTCCTTTGTAGTATTCCTTCGTTAAGGAAGATCGAGATCTTTGACTATACAGCTTATTCAGATGTTGATGCTTCTGCTTTGAGAAAAGGAACGTACACACCATATAAACTCACAGCTGAAGAACAAGTTATGTTAGATACGATGAGAGCAGCAGGTCAAGAAAAGATCGCACTCAAGATCATCAAACAAAACCATTCAAAGAAGAGAAACAGGTCACGTAATGGTCAGCTTTGGACATGGACATGCAAATTACCTATTAACTTAGAGAGGTATCAGATCTTCAACGAACTTAATGCAGAGACAGCAAAGAAGATGATGAAAGATTCATGTTTCATCTACGCTTGTATTCAAGCTGGTGTTGACGAAGCAACAATTAATCATATGAGGGAAATCATTCGTGTCAAAGATTTTCCAATGTCAAAGATTAAGGTTATTGCCAAAGAAACAGGAATAAGGTTCCATGTCATCAAATACAACGAGAAGTATTCAAATCATTCATATACTTATGAACCAGATGAAGAACCAAAGATGACAGTAGAACTTTTATTAATGTATGACCACTACATGTTGAACGAAAAGCTTCCAATAAGTTCAATGTTCATCAAGAACTATGAAGATGTTTGTAAGTTGTGCAAGGATTGGACTTTAGAGAAGAAGATGTTAGTTAACAGAAGATATGAAACAAGGTATGCAATTAACTCAAAGTTAGTTACACCACTTGCAAAAGTCATTGAACTCTTGTTTGCTAACAATTATTTCGAACCAATTAGAACAGGAGAACTTTGCACATACTTCACAACGATGTATAATGAGAACCTTGAAGAAATGATTGACCTCACATACAATGAGCGTTATTGCGCAAGGATGAAGAAAGATTGGAGTTCAGAGACGAAGAAAGACATGAAGTTCCCAAGAGAACATGTTTTCTTTGCTGACTTCGAAGCATCAACTGATGGAAACATTCACAAAGCATACAACATTTGTTTCATGGAAGATGACGATGATGGTTATACATCAATTTGGGGAAGTGACTGTGCGTCAAAATTCCTCGAAGCTTTACCAGATAAGAGTTTAGTTTATTTCCACAACTTATCGTACGATGTCACTTTTCTCATGTCTCAGTTAGAAGAGATTACAGGAACTCCAATCATCAAAGGTTCACAAACGATGCAGATACAAGGAAAGTACAAAGGAAAACTTCTCTGCTTCAAAGACTCTTATGCAATCATCTCAACTAAGTTGGAAAGATTCCCTGAAATGTTTCACCTCACTAGTGGTGAAAAAGAAGTTTTCCCATATAATTACTACACGGAAGAGTTAGTTAATACAACTAAAGTTGGTAACATCGATGATGCCATGAATCATGTCAAAGATATTGAAGCTTTTAATGAGAACATTGAGAAGATTGAAGATTGCAAGATTGATGATGAACACTTTGACATGGAAGTTTATTCGTCATTCTATTGCGGTCAAGATGTACGCATTTTACGAGATGGCTTTCTTAAGTTCCGCAATGACCTCATGACTGAGTTTGAAATAGATGCTTATGATTATGTTTCAATAAGTTCTATCTCAAACAAACTCTTTGAGAAGAGAGTATATTGGAAGAACGGTAATCTCTTTGATCTTGCAGGAAAACCTCGTGAATATATTTCCAAGTGTATTCAAGGAGGAAGATGCATGCTAGCTGAGAACAAGAAGCAATACAATGAAGGAGAACTCATCACTGACTTCGATGCTGTATCATTGTATCCATCAGCAATTGCTAGACTTTACTGTTTAGAAGGAATTCCAAAAGTTATGACAGAAGAGATGAAGAGCAGTGAATACTTGTTGGAGCATCTCTTTGATGATGACCAAGCTGAACCAACAAAGGAAAAGTTCATCTCAGGATTTTACTGTCAGATCGAGATCTTGTCGATCGGTAAGAACTCAGCATTCCCATTGATTGTCGTCAATCCTGACATCAACCCTGACTTACATGTTGCCAGAAGTTCCAATACATGCTGCAAGATGTTCGTAGACCACATTACGCTTCAAGATCTGATCAAGTTCCAAGAGATCTCATGCAAAGTCATTGATGGATACTATTATGATGGAAAAAGGGACATGACAATAAGGAATGAAGTTAAGAAGCTCTTCGAATTACGTGCTAAGTATAAGAAGGAAGGTAATCCGATACAAGAGATCATCAAACTTCTTTTGAACAGTATCTATGGTAAGACGATATTAAAGCCCATTGACAAAAAGATTCGTTTCATCAAGGACAATAAGCTCACTGACTATATCATTAAGAACTATAATGACATACAGACAATAGAGTTCATCCCCGATTCCGAACTTTCATGTGTAAAGTCATTTAAACCTATCGTTCGTCACTTTAACTATTGTCCATTAGGTGTTTCAATCCTTTCTATGTCCAAACGAATCATGAATGAAGTATTCTTCACAGCAGAAGATTTGGGCTTGAAGTTGTTCTATCAGGATACAGATAGTTTACACTTGTATGAGAAGGACTTAGATAAGTTAGCAGAAGAATACAAGAGAAGGTATAACAGAGAACTCATTGGAAAAGCACTGGGTCAATTTCATTCAGACTTTGCAGAGATTACTGCAGGACATATGTCTAAGGCACAAAGATCTATATTCGTTGGAAAGAAGACTTACCTCGACGAATTAACCAATGACCTCAAGGAAATTGCTTTCCACTGTCGAATGAAGGGAATCACACAGGACGTAATTGCACTTACTGCAAACCAAATGTTCCCAGATGCGATACAAGTACATTATGACGAGAAGAAAGGTTTGTTCTTCCCTGAGAAAGTTGGGGAAAAATATAGCATCGTGGAATTGTACAAATCTCTTTATGAAGGTGATGAGATAACCTTTGACTTGTGCATTGGTTCGAAACCATGCTTCAACAAAAATAAGGACTTCACTATTTCAACGAAGTCATCTTTTGAACGTAAGTTAAAGTTCTAAACACTTACTTATTATTTTTCTTAGCTTCTTCCTCTTCTCTCAATTTCTTTGCAATCATTCGTGGATTCTTTGCGCGTCCAGCTGCTAATGCAGCTAATTGTTTCTCTGTGAGTTTACGCTTTGGTTTAGCTGGTTTCTCTTCTTGTGTTTGTTCTTTTGGTTTGAGTTCATTAAGTATTTCTTCACGAAGTTCATTCTTGAGTGCTTCTCTGTCGAAAGTATTCTCAGTCATTTTGTTAGGAGTAAAAAATTTTATTAGGATAGAAATGACGTCAAAACTTTCACCAAGTGAAAAGCAATCAATCATATTGAATGAAGCTAAAGGAATACAACATCCATTATATTATGTTTGTCATATGAAGAATGGTTCAGTTCAAGTTAGAAAGAGAAAGGCACCATTGAATTCACCAGCTCCTGCCCCAGCTCCTGTTGTTCAAGAAGCTCCTAAAGTTGATGAGAAGAAAGAAGAAGAACAAGCATATACTAATAAAATGTTGTTAGAGATGATGACAAAGATATTAGAACGTAACAGTGTAGTTAATGAACCAAACATGGACCCAATTGAACGTGAGAAGGAAACTAAAGAGAATCAAGAATATGTTCAATCAATGGAAGAGAAAAGAATACACTTCGATGATGAACCAGAGCCTGAACCAGAACCTCCTAAACCTCAGCCACAAATAAGACGAATAATCCCAAGAATAAGAAGATTGTAAATTTTTTATAGCTGAGAAAGATGTTGAACGATAACCTCAATACATACAGTATTGCTGATTCCATCAGACAAGTAAGATATTATTTCGATCAAGTTGATGGGGCAGTTCCTATTGGAGATACTAACCATAGATATGTCCCAACAAAAGTGCCAGCTATGCCGACAAATACTATTGATAACGGTTATATTACATTTAACATATCACCACCTGGTGAGAACATGATTGACTTATATAATACGTTCATTAGTGGTTATGTCGATGGTGAGTGCATAATTACAACAGAAACTGAACCAGCTGATGAAAAAGTTCCTAAATATGATGGTGAAGTATATAAAGAAAGAGCTGTTGAGACAGCTCCTACAGGATCAAATGTTACAGCAATTAAAGCAATTGATACTAAATATGCTGGTGGCAAATCATGTGCACATCTTCCAGCAATTTGGTTGGGATACATTGATTCATTCTATGCTGTTGAATCATATCAATTAATCGCTAATGGTAAAAGTGTTTATACACAAGATAATGCTAGAGAAGAAGGTTACATTACTTCTACTGCATCTACAACAGAAGCTATTAAGAAAGTTGATGTATTTAGTAAGGCTAGACATAAAGATGTTTTCAATAGATGTGATACAGTTCGTTCTGGACAGATTATTGAGTTCAATAAACCAATTAGTGGTGCAACTACATTAAAGTTCCACATACCAATCAAGATTGACCTAAGAAGATTCCTAATACTTAATAACATTAGATTCCTTCCAGCGTTTGCTGGTAACTTACAACTTAAGGTTAAGTTCAGTATTGCTGGTATGGTTTGGACACCATTAAGTTATCAGGATATTCTACCATTACCGAACATGCAAGCCAATGTTACAAGCTATATTCCAATCACTAATCACTTCACTCCTATCTATGAAGGTATCAAAGTTATTGATACTGTAACTTGGAATGCCGATAAGAGTACGATATCATTTGGTACCAAGTTTATTAAGTTCACTAAGAAGAATGCAAACTTCTTTGAAATGATTACATACTGTAACTCATTCTCTTTGGACCCTAACATCTATAGTGATTTGGTGACAAGATATTCGGCAAAGACTCTAAACTTCCCAATCAAAAGAATTGACTGCATTACTATGGATGGTTCAATGGCTAAAGGTGAAGGAACTCCTTGTACATTCACGGCAGCATTTACTCCATTATATGTGAACACCATTTATACACTATTTAAGAAAACACCTAATTATAACACTACCTATGAAAATCCATTGTTTGAACAAATTCAATTGAACTGTGGAGCATATGGTAACATACCCGCTGAGGCTCAAGCATCTAATGATCCAATCTTCTATGAGATGCAGGCAAATGCCACTAACAATAATAACGATACTGTTGGCTTCAACTATGATGTCATGAGGTCTATCACAACCACATCCCTCAATTTGGAATCGAGTCAAATGACTTAGGTCATTACCTATGTGGATTCCCTTGCGAAACTGATTATACATTCCAACAGGGTCAGTTATCTAATTCACCTATTACATATAAGCTTACAGTTAAGCCAACAGCAGAGTCTATTAAATATACTGAGAAACCAGTGTTATGCTTCTTACGTCACGTTTGCCTCTCCATACAGATTAAACAGGTGGGACCACCTATCGTACTTCTCGACGATTATGATTTATCAGCCCCTGCTAGTGAATAAAGGTTAGTTTACATATGAACGTTTATTTTTACACATATATGCGTACATATGCGCGCCCGTATGGTGTCAGTTTTCTGTCACTTTTTTCATTGTGTCGGTGACTGTAGCTGTAGGCTACAGGCGACGCACAATGTATACTGTACTTTTATATATGTATATATTTATATATGTATATATTATATATGTATATATTATATATGTATATATTTATATATGTATATATTTATATATGTATATATTTATATATGTATATATTTATATATGTATATATTTATATATGTATATATTTATATATGTATATATTTATATATGTATATATTTATATATGTATATTTATATATTATATATTTATATATGTATATATATTTTATATTATATATTTATATATGTATATATTTATATGTTATATTTATATATGTATATATTTATATATGTATATATTTATATATGTATATATTTATATATGTATATATTTATATATGTATATATTATATTATGTATATATTTATATATGTATATATTTATATATGTATATATTTATATATGTATATATTTATATATGTATTATTTATATATGTATATATTTATATATGTATATATTTATATATGTAATATTTTATATATGTATATATTATATATGTATATATTTATATATGTATATATTTATATATGTATATATTTATATATGTATATATTTATATATGTATATATTTATATATGTATATATTTATATATGTATATATTTATATATGTATATATTTATATATGTATATATTTATATATGTATTATTTATATATGTATATATTTATATATGTATATATTTATATATGTATATATTTATATATGTATATATTTATATATGTATATATTTATATATGTATATTTATATATGTATATATTTATTAGAATGCTTCATGCTGTGTTGAGTATTGTTGAATTGGAAACTGCTTCATGCTGCATTGAATATTGTTGAATAATTTGAAGTAGTGGTTTTTGAAATCAGCACCCCTATGAGAGCGCTGGCGACCGAAACACCACTAGTAAGATTGTGTATTAGAAACTGCTTCATGCTGTGTTGAGTAAGCTTCGATGTCTTTATCAGACCACCTTTAAATTAACCACTCACATTCTCACTGTGGTCCATCTAAAATTTGTAAGCTTTATGACATAAAATTATATTATATGCAGGATCCCACCTATTACTTAATCTTTTTGGAATAAATGTTTTTAATATTTATCGATTGATTGTAATTTTTTGTATAAAAAAGTTTTTTATTTATATTAAAAATATATTCGGTTAATGATATTATCTTATAATTTGTAAATAAATCTAGTAATAAAATAACTTTAATAGTTGGTGTCACTTTTTCGAAAATTCTGTTTTTTCGTTTTCCTTATTGAATTTTGATATTAAAATAGTTAGTATCCCTAAGTCGTGTACTGAGGCACTGCGCGCCTCCGTACACACTTAGCGGTTTTGACACTTTACGAACCGGTAACGTATATTTTACAACACAATAACACCAACTTAACCTTTAATATTTACAAAACCATCTGACACATAAACGACTTCACTAACGAACTCACTAACGAATTCACTACCGTCCTCACTAAATAAAAATAACCTTATTTTTATTTTTTTTTAAATTTTTTATTTCATTGTAAAGACATGTCCGACTACATTTACTATGACTCTTTCCCAGAACGTTTCCGTGAACTATTCAAAACTCAAGTAAAACTGAGAAACATGCATTTTAACAAAGACAGACCCATTGACGATGAAAGAAACCCCGAATATATTACAATCCCATATGACGCAAAATTCATTGCATACATTCCTTATGGTCGCAGAGGAACGAAAACTATTTCAACAAAGAACAAAAATTATTTCTGGAGCGATGAAGAAAATTGCCTTATCTACATAAATGCATACTTAAATAAAGCTACATATTGTACAAAAGAAGGTTGGACTGGATTTGAGCTCTACATATACGACGACGATGGAAACAGACATTGTGTATACCCATACGATAATATGTACCATTGTTTTCATCAAGCATTAAACGAATACATAGTCAGTAAGGGTCTCATTCCTGTTGAGTAGATATGCTTTATTTTTGTTCTGTCATTTATATAAAAATAAAATAAAAAATAATTTAAAAAAAATAAACTTAAAAATAAATGATATTACTACCTTCACGCGTATGAAAACATAGCACAAAAATAAATTTAGGTGAAGTGGTGAAATCTCACCTCTTTTTTCACCTGTTTTTTTCACCCTGTTGAATTCATTGCTTTATAACTCTCTTCCTTTCTCCAACTCTTCTAACTTCTTCTTAAGTTCAGCAATGTTGTCCTCATGAAGTTTAATCTTTCTCAAAATTCCTTCTCTATCTAATGGTTGCTTTATCTTTCTAAACTGAACTCTACCATCCTTCATAGTATGAATGTAAAAACCTTCTGGAATAGTTCCTGATTTAATGTATTCTACCAAAAACTTTTGTTTCATTGCTTCAGTGACTTTATTTGTCATTTCAATCAAATAAAAATTTTAATATTAAATAAAAATAACGTTATTTTTTCAGTAAGGAAACGCAGGAGTTTTACGATTTATTTGAGGAGTAGGTTCTGGTTTAAATGTTGGAGTCGGTTTAGGAGTTGACTTTTGAACAGGAGTTTGTACTTCCATAGGTTCAGGAGTCATTGAAGGTTTTGCTTGTGAAGGCGTTGGTTTTGACGTTGGTTTTGGCGAAGGTGTTGGAGTTTGTTTAACTTCAGCTACTTCAGTATTATTTACAACATTTGCTTTATTTCTTTTCAACATCATAACTGCTCCTGCTGTAGCTAGCAAACCTAGTGGGAGACCATATCTTATATAAGGACTTGACCAAATGCTATTTTTGACAGGAGCTGGTGGAACACCTAACCTTGGTGAGACTGCTCTTTGCCATTGTGCAGCTCGTAAGAAATATTCAATAGGTGCTCCATAATCGTTTGGTAAAGTTTGTTTCATAGATGGTGAAGGTTCACGAGAGCTTGATGAAGAACTCATTTATAAGCTTTAAAATAAACGTTCATCCTTTATTCCTCACTGTCGTCCGCAGCTAAGTTATAGTCATCTAATCTTATTATGGGGATGCCATTAGCACGCACCGGAATGGCAAAGCAACAATCCCTCATAAATCCAATAAGTGGTTTTGGTACATTTTCACTTGCTAGTTCAATAGGTCCTTTAACAGACAATTTGTATGTTATTGGAGCAGTAGATGTTTGACCTTGCTGGAAGCAAAAGTCCACTTCTGTTGGAAAACCACATAAGAAATGTGTGTTGTCATAGCTATCCCATTTATGTTCCACACTACCATCATCCACCAATGACCTCATAACATCTTCATTAAATCCAATCATATCATTGTTTGTATTGCAAGCGCTCGCAACCATTTCATAAAATACAGGTCCATATGGTTTTTCAGGTTCTGCAGGCATATTTCCATAAGCTCCCATGGAAAGCTGAAGATATTTAAACTTAGGGTTCTCAAAATTAACATAATAGTTGTCTTT